CTCCAAAGTGCTATTTTAGCGTTTTTTTAAATCGTCCAAAAATTATAATTTTACAAAACCAACATTTTGGCATATCGTTTATTGAACAGTACTGTCAACTTTGCGATTTTATATCGTTTTTTTTTTGTCACGCTCCCGAATAGTGTTATCAACTTTGCGATTTTATATTTCATATTTACTTGTAACTCCAAAGTGCTAATTTAGCGTTTTTTTTAAATCGTAAAAATTTTGTAATTTTACACAACTGACCCTTTGCATGTCGTTTATTGAACAGTACTGTCAATTTTGCGATTTTATATAGTTTTTTTCTCTCACGCGTCCAAATAGTTTTGTAAACTTTGCGATTTTATATTTCATATTTACTTTCAACTCTAAAGGGCTAATTTAGGGGTTTTTTAATATCGTCAATATATATATATTTTTTTACAAAACCAACCTTTGGCATGTTTACAGTAATGCCAACTTTGCGATTTTATATTTCATATTTACTTATGACTCCAGAGTGCTAATTTAGCGTTTTTTTAAATCGTCAAAATTTATAATTTTACAAAACTAGCCCTTTTGCATGTTGTTTATTGAACAGTAATGTCAACTTTGCGATTTTATATTCCATTATTACTTGTTACTCCAATGTTAAAACTTTATCAGACTACAGCCAAGACACCAGTAATGGCTTCATAACAGAAGTTATTTTGGAAGAATGCCCTAAAGAGAATTTTTATTGATTTTTTTCAAAATATTTTGGTTTTTGTTTTTATTGACAGTGGGCGTAAACTGAGAGAACCAAAAAAAATAATAACCGCTTAATTGCTGTATCATTTGTTGCTAGCTGCAGTTTGTTTTGTTTATTCATAACTCATGTTTTCATTTTGACCTTCTTCTTATACCAGGAGACAGACGTAGCTGTGTGTGTGTGTCTGCAGTGTGTGAATCACTATTGCTTTTCATTAAAATTTTCTTTTTTTCCTTTCATTTTTTTTCTCTGTTTGTTTTAATTTGCTTCTATGGTTTTTGTATTAAGCAACAACCAACCGAAAAGTAACATCAATGTTTACCGCTATTACTGATTATGAATAAAGTTGTTGTTTTTGGCTTGCAGTATGTTATTTTTAATATTACTTGAATTGCTTGCTGACGGCTTTATTTGCTGGCAGACTGCTGCTGTGGCTTCTGTCGGTTAGTTGGGTTAGTTTGGTGGTAGGTAGGAAGGTATATAATTTGATGCCGCTCCCACTTTCATTTATTATTTTGATTATGTGTACCTGAACTGCAGTAATGCCAACTTCAATAGCTTTAGAGTAAGAAGTTCACATAACGGTTATTTACAATTGCCTAGAAACCCATACAACTTTCGTTTCATGAATTCGCCTTTAATTTTTAGAATAAAATTTTTTCTTTAGAAAATAACACACATTTTGCCATGCCATAAAAATATATAGATAAGTGTTAAAATATTAAAAAAAAAGAAAAAAATTGAATCATTTCAATGACGTTAACATTCATTTTGCGCTAAAATGAAGGAAGCCTAGGTGATACGTATGAAAATATAAGCTTATCTTATCATTGTTGAGAGAGGGAGAATAAATACTTTCCAAAATGTCTTTGAAGTGGTTGCTGTTTAGCAACATGTTTTAACCTATTTTATTGCCTGTCCATATTAAGTATTTGGATGTCGTTATACAATTATTAGTTTTAAAAATCGACCTTTAAACGGGGAAATTTACATCCACTCTTCGAAATCTTGTCATTACAAACAGAATTTTTTCTGTACGAAAGATAACAAACTTCATATAACATTCTCAATAAAATCGATCTAAAATTGTCTTCAATTCAAAAAAGGAATTATGAGAAATTACTCCATTTTTTCCAAAAAATTCTAAATGTCCCAAAAGGCCGGGAAAATACCTATGATGCAATTTTAATTTTAAAACACTACGAAATATTAACCAAAATATCCTTTTTTTTTTCTTAATGGCATTCGTAGTTGTCGTTTTTATTTACTTTTCTCAAATTTGTTAATTTTTTCGTGAAGAGTTATTTTCAGGTGTGATATTTGTCGCCAAAAATCTAAAAATTTTAAAAATTCCGCTGATATACTGGTATATTTTGACAACTCTGTTAACCATTTAATGTGAATTACCCTGCAAGTAATGCTAATTTGGCGAGTTTTTCTATGCTTAGACAGTTTATTGTAATTTTCTCACGTGTGTCTCTCTCTCATAACGGCATTCACTGAATATACATTCTCTGACAGTAATGTCATAATTGCAATTTAAATCGCAAAAATGTTAATAGCATCATTAGCATTAATTTTGATATTTTTTAACAAAAGTAATATCAATATCGTTTTCTTCTACAGTTTCAATGTGTCTTCATATTTTCTCATATTTGTTCCTTCTTTCATAATGAATTATGTCAAGTTTGTGATTTTTATTGTCAAAAATATTTTAGAAATCGTCAACTGTTAACCATTTAATGTGAATTTCCCTACAAGTAATGCCATCTTGGCGAGTTTTTCTCTGCTTAGATTATTTATTGCAATTTTCTCACGTATGTCTCTCTCCCATAACGGCATTCGGTGAAGATACATTCTCAGGCAGTAATGTCATAATTACCATTTAAAACGCCAAAAATGTTAAATAATCGCCAGTAAAGCCATAATTGCGTTTAAATCGCCAAAAATGAATTATGTTATTAGAAATTCCCCAACTGAAATGTTTTCGTCGTCCATGTTAACCATTTAATGTGAATTCTTCTTCAAGATTAAATCCCAGTTGTGATATTTGTCGCCAAAAACATAAAATGTTAGAAATTCCCCAATAGGAATATTTGGTCAACTCTGTTAACCATTTAATGTGAATTCCCCTACAAGTAATGCCAATTTGTCGAGTTTTTCTACGCTCTAGACTCTCTCTCCCATAACGGCATTCACATTAGATATATAACAGGTAGAATACAGGTAGTCGCATCGACACAGCTGCACAGGACAATGAACTGTCAAACCAATTTTGGAATTAAAAAAATTTGAATGAAAAATTATTCAAATTTGAAAAAACTGAAAACTTATAAAATCTACATATTTTTGTGAAAAAAAAAAATAAAATATAACAAAAAAATAAAATATAACAAAAAAATAAAATATAACAAAAAAATAATATAAAACAAAAAAAAAAATAAAATAAAATAGATAAATAAATAAAATTTTAACATATCACTGCTACCAAGCGTTGATGCATCTACCTGAATTCTTCAAATATGAATTCTAATGAATATCTCAATTTTGTGATTTTTATCTAATTATTAATCCCAACTGTCGTCCATGCTAACCATTCAATGTGAATTCCCCTACAAGTAATGCCAATCTGCGGAGTTTTTTAAGCCCTAATCCTAAACTTTCTCACGAATGTCTCTCCCACATAACGGCATTAACATTGACATTCTCAAACAGTAATGTCATAATTGCGTTTTAAATCGCCAAGAATTAAAATTGCATCATTGCCATAATTTTGATATTTGACATTTAAATCTCACAAAAGTAATGTCAATATGGTGATTTTTTTCCAAATCGAAAGTGCCAGAAATGACTTCTTAGAAACATTATTAACAACTTGGTGACATTTTTGTCACCAAAAATATTACTAATTGTTAGATTATTTTGAAGTGCGTTGCTGCGAAAATTGGCAAGCCGTAAGCAATATTTGGCGGTCACAGATTCATTAAAATTTAAAATCGTTACTGAATAACTGTGTGCTCTCCATTCACATCACGCAATTTTATTTGCAGCAACGGCACTTTTCCAAATGGAAAGATCATCTACAACTCATCATGTTATGTTTTATGGGAAAATTAGGAGATATTCTGAGAGAGGATCTAAAAAAATGGCAGGACTTATTTTTATTTATTTTTAGGAGAATTGGCAACACACTTCTCTCACATCATATTAAAATTGGACAGTATTACTAATGATAATTAGTAATCGGTTTAAAGCTGCGACAAGTTCGAACCCCAACCAATTCAGGAATTACGATGCCAAGATTAGATTACGAAAGAGAGAACCATATCTCTGGACCCGAAAATGGCATCAGCACAAATTGTAGCATTTTGAAAAGGTAAGAGTGTCAGCTATATTTGGCATCAATTTTGTTGACCCCCATCATGGACCCTTTTTCGACTTTTTGATGTTTTTATGAAAAATCCGGGTCCAAAAAATCGATACCAATATTGTCTACATCAGGTAAGTGGATGTAGCCTAGCCCGGGTCTAGCCCGGATCTTAAACCCGGACTTTCAATACAAAAATCTGGTGTCCCGGGCCAATCCCCCAAGAAAAATAGTTTTCCGGAATCAGAGTAAAAATACCTATCTCTGGAAAATTTTTTGAAAAAAATGAATAGGTTTTTACTAAACTAGAGTTAAGCCGAAAAAATAGTTTCCCGGAATCAGAGTAAAAATACCTATATCTGGAAAATTTTTCAAATTTCGAAAAAATTGAATAGTTTTTACTAAACTATAGTTCTTCCGATTTTACTAGAGTTGTACCTCGGACAGTGAACTCCCCCAATTCAGGAATTACGATGCCAAGATTTGATCAAAGCTTCTCAAGGAAAAACCTGACTTGTTGTTTGGGAGGAGAAACCTCCTTTTTCATTTTAGGATCCTAAAATAACTACCTGGCAACAATTTCTAATCAATCAAAACATAAAATTTTGAAACAATCAAATACCCCTCAGAATAAATCTTTGGAAATCCACACAGAATGATTTCATTCCATCATATCATCATCATTTGTCTGTGTTGATCAAAAAAAAAAAACATCTCCACAAAAAAGAGAAACACAAAAATTCCCTTTATTCTTTTCGTTCAATTCGTAACATAAAAAACTCGAATACTTTTTGGAATACGTGCGTAAAAGGGGAGAAAGAAATTGTGCTTGAATTTTTGGTTTTGGTTTTGTTTTTTCGTTTCTTTTGTTTTTTTTTTGGACAGCGTGCCTCAACTTACCGTTTACTGGGTGATAACCGTTGCTATCTCTTTCTCGCGTATTGTTGTTAATACTCAGACGGCGATGGCTTCGATAGCTTTTTTTCGGTGGCGTTAATTTGAAGAGAGAAAAAAAGTACACACAACAGCAAATGAAATAAAATTTATTAAATTAGATTTATTTTTTTGAAATTGAATTTTTTTTGTTTCGAATGATTGGAAAGATTCCTTTTTAATATTTGAAAATCAAAACACTCAAAACATTAATTGTAGTATGCAAGGAAGGAAGAGCTAAAATCACTCACTTTCAAAAGTAGCACAGAAAATCTTTCGTTTTTTTTTTTTCTACTTCTTCTTTTGTTTCAATGTGTCTTCTCTACACATACACCAAACCACCAACAAGAATTTCTTTTCACTTTTCCTGGGCTAAATTTTATGTTGTTTCTTTCAATTTCGGCCTTAATTTCTCAAGTTTAGTTTTCGTTAAATCGGCTTTTTCATTTAGTTGCCTGTCATTCAGAATGCACACACTGTGGACTTCTTTTCAGAAAATAACAAAAAATTTCATGAAAAGGTGAAGCGCTAACCACACGTACACACAAAACGCGGACCGAACAAACAAAACGAGTGCAATCTCGACGACAGTTCAAATTCAATTGAGCACACCACACGAACACATGAAGCAGGCAGAGACAACTCAAAAACAACAAGGCACACAGAAAACGGTACTCAAATGTGTGAAGAGAAGGTGGAAATGACAAGAAGAGAAATAACAAACAAAAACAGTGTTGTCAACTACTCCAAAAACTTGGGGGTTTTGTGGCAAACACTCTAATTGGAATATTAGGCATAAATTATTAAATCACATCCCTAAATGCCGCTATTTAATGGGGCAAAAGTTTTTTTTAATACATATTTTCTTTATGAAATAAAGCAATAAGACATTTTATCAACAAAAACAGCCCACGCAACCATTTAACATTAATTTCTCCTGCAAAAAAAACGCCACAATAACAACGCACTTATAAAGAGAGTTTCAACTCTTTCAAATTGGAGAGAGCAGCACATTAAAGAAGCAATTGGGAAAGAAAAAAAAAACAAAAATATAAAATAATATCAATTATTATAATATAAAATAACATCATATTTGTATTAAAACATAAATAAAATATATTTCAAATAATTCTGGTCACCATTCATATTCATCCAAAGGACATTCCACACACAAAAACCAGCCATTAATTTGGCCTAAACCGATTTTATTGGGGGACTAGCAACGCCCAAAAAATTGGTAACATGGGCACAACAAAAAAAAATACAACACTCATTTCAGCAACGCAGAAGAACCAGAAGCATGGGTAATTAATTCCACAAGACAAGAAATAGACAAACTTTAAATTCACTAGCGATTTAAAAAGAAAAATCCAACATGTTTATTCCCCCAAATAAAAGGGAATTGAATTTAGGACCAATAATTCAGTTCAGGTCTGTAGTTTGGAAAATATTTCCATACATCAAAACGACGACGACGCCCGATTATGTCATAAGCCTCTACAACAACATAGCACACAGAAATAAACCAAAAAATATTTGATGGAGAAAAACAAACACATACCCACAACAACAACAACTCGCTACGACGATTGTTGGTTAATTCTTTTACCGGCAATTCTTCTTTTTTTATTGACTTTTCTTGTAACTGTTTGCTTACTTCATTCGCGCCGCGTTTTCGGTTTCTTATTTTTATTGTTTGCACAATGAGTCCTGATTTTTTGAACGGCGTTTTTCACTCGCTTAACACACACAAGTTTTTTTTAATTTTCGTTCGTTCTGTTTTACATTCGAATTGTTTCTGTTTGCCTCCTCTTGTTTTTTGTTGTCTTCTTCTTCGTTGGACAAACAAATAATATTTTAATGTTCTCTCGGCGAAAGAGACAACTATCTATACCGTAACGTTTTTCATTCAAATTAGAAAAAAACACAATACACAAGATGATGTCATATTTGTAAGAGAGCGTAGGCAAAACATATTTTAAGAGAGAGTGACAAATAAAAAATAGATTCTCTTACGCCGACAGAGATGGAATATTAAAAAAACGCAAATTTAAAACGCAAAACGGGGTTATATTAATGGAACGTTTTTTATTAAACGTAATTTGGAACGAATTTTTATTAGTCGATATTTGGAACGATTTTTTTATTGGTCGTTATTTGGAGCGTTTTTTTTATATTATCGAAACGTTTTTAATTTGTAATGCGTTTCTATTTCTTTTATATATTTTTTAATTCTACTTTGATTGCAAGTGGCGTTTAGGTAACATTAAATTAAATTTATTTACATTTCCAATCAAAATTCACTTTTAAACTCCTTGCCTCTTCCTTTTACTATTTGGAACGTTTTTAAGTTTGTTCGGGCCTAACGTAATTAAAACGATTATAGAGAAAATAATAAAAATATAGTTATTACACAAAATATGATTATTTTATTGTGAATTTTGTGTAGCAGGACTGTCGGAACGTTAATAAAACGTTTGCAGGTTACTCTAAAAGAAGACATGATGGCAGCAAGTCTTCCTGGCATTCGTTGAGGCCATGGTAGAAGAATAGTAGTCGCATCGACACAGCTGCTGGGACAATAAACTGTCAAACCGATTTTGGAATTGAAAATGTTGAATGAAAAATTATTTAAATTTGTAAAAATTGTTGAAAAACGCTTATTATAATAAAATTTAAAATTGTTTAACATACCAATGTTCTACCATTGTTGAGACCTTTCAATCTAGTGATTTAAAATAAAACGGTTTATAAATAACCCGATCTTTTCTTTTTATAAAAAAAATACATCCACTCAAGTTTTTTTCATTAAAAATTAATAAATTCTTTTATTAATGTCTTAAAGATTATATTCAGGTATATTATAAGGCAAGACAAAAACATATTAAAGCTTTAAAATTTAAAAAAAAAATCTTGGCACATAAATCTTTAGTTTTTCTAAATACCTAACAGAAATGTTGTTGCTATTGTTGTTTTAAATGAAGCAACTGATTATTAAGCAATACAGTAAATGTTCCCAAATTTGCATTATGTTGTAAGCTACCCACTTGTATAGCTTGTAAGCAACCATTTGGTAGATTTATTCCATTGACATTGGGTAGAATCGAAACATCTTCGGTTTTAATTGTTTGCAATTGAGGTAGAGCTGGAATTTTTATGAACTCTTCTAAATTTGCAGCCACAGATCCTGGCGCATCATCTTCAATCTTAATCGATTGTAATTGGAATGAAGATGGCTGAAAATTATTTGTCAAACTTTGGTGCTCGTGAATAATAGTCATATAGCATGGAGCTTGATTAATGGTACATGGATTCAAATTACCAAGGACTTCTTTATGATCTGTAGCAGCAGCAGCAGTAGAGCCAATAATTTGATAATTTTGTGATGTATCTTCCGCAACAGCTTGTGTGGGAGGAAAAGCTACATTTGCCAAAGTGGTATATTGTAACTGAGGTTCATCTGTTACAGAAGACTCTAGGAATTCTTCCTTAATAGCTATGCTTGCGGAATCATTACTTGTCAATACATTTGGTACTGACACCTGCAGTTGGCTACCATCAGCCAATGTTAAGGTACTATTAAATACAACTTGCGGCAGCTTATATTCCTCCTTTTTAATACTGGCTTGGGTTTGATTTTTCGTTGTATTTTCTTTTGGTTGACTATTCTCCTTTTCAGTGCAAGGTTCACCATTAATCTGATTCTCTACAGCTTCCACGCCATGTTTTGTTCTTTTATGGTATTTCATTTTATCCGGCCTGGAAAACTCAGCATTACATATGGGACAAGCGAATATTTTACGAATTCCACTGTGCAGCAAATAGGCATGTCTTTGGAAGCTATATTGACTTGTGAATGATTTCTCAATACCGTTTTGGGCACATACCAAGCAGCGCGTAATCCCATCGACAGTCAGTTTATATTGACCGGAGTCCATACCGCGTACGGACATTTTTTGCAAATATTCCTTTGCAACACAAACATCATTTGATACTTTGCGACGACGATACTTTTTTGCAGTAATGGGTTTTTTGTCAATTTTGGTATTATTGCTATCCGAAAGCAGTTGTTGCTTACCGTCAGCAATTACACAGTGTGATTGTTTGGGAGGATCTGTGGACATAGTGAGACTTTCATCATTACTATTCGGCAAGAGTTGTTCATTGGCTGCAATTATACAGGGAGGATTTGTGGACATAGTGAGTGTTCTTTAGAGGAACCTGCAATAAGATCAAAGGGGTCAATTCACATTTTAAAGTTCCCGCCATATTATTCTGGTTATCAAACAACTTACTCATAAATAAATTCATTGATTCTAAATCAGAACAAGACTCCAGCTTTGTAAATTACGTTGACATGCATTGTATTAATAGTTTTTACAATATTTTTGTTGTAAAAACTTGAAATTCTGACGATATCCTTTATACGAAATGAGGATCGGTTCAAATTTAAAAGGGACCAACAGATCGAAAAAGAAGGCATTCAGGGCTTAGCAGGTCGAAAGCCAGACATGAGCTGGAGTTCACAGAGTTCACCAGATCGAAAACCAGTATCACACGCAGGGTTTTAAAAATCGGCCCCAGGGTACTGTTTAGTGATAACTGCTTCTTCTTGCACATTCACACAATATCCGGAAAATTTACAAAATTTCAACTGCTACTACTCGTCGCTCAGCTGTTTTTTGTTGTCATCTGTGTGTTTGTTGTTGCTACCATATGTGGATATCATTTATATTTGATTGATTTGATTTTGTTAACGCAACAAATTTAAAAGCGTTCCACATGCCATCGTACGAGAGTACTGTTTACAAAGTGAACAATCACCTGGGCGTATGACACAATACAATAATACAGTGAACTGCCAAAGTATTATTGAAGTTAACAGTTTGCAATGAAAATTTACTCAAAAAGGCATACCCTAAAACAAGCCACACACGATACAACTGGTTGTAACACTCAACAGAGTAACAGAGTACTCAAATTGTGTGCTTCGGTCAAAAACGATACAACTTTGTATACAACCTCTTTGTACAACTTCACTTTTAGTAGACTTTATTTGAGTGAAGATGACACCAGAAAAAATTTATGCTCTATAATTGACTCGATAGCTTTTATTTATTTTTTATTTTTTTTTTGTTGCAAAAATTGTCACGCTTAATCCCATTATTGTTGTTTTTATAAAACAACATTTGTTTATTAGTGGAGAACGATGGTAATGTTTACCAGGCGGGTAAGGCAGGAAATACCTAGGTTTCGGAAAGAGCCACCAATCCTCATCAGTTCCCTTGTTTTTTGCCTGGGATATTTTCCCCAGAAGTTATTTAAAATAACTCCTATGTCAAAAAACTTTTTTACCCAAGTGACGAGATCGTTTTTTTTATTAATTTTTAAATTTTTGAAATTTCATTTTATAATTAAAATTAAAAAAATTGCATATTTGATTGCATTTCGTATTGTTTTGCTGTGCGAAACAATATTGTTGCATCTTCAAAAATAAACTCAAAATGAAATTGTATGCGACATGCCCACAAACGTTACAATCGTTTTTGCAGAAACGGATAGTACAGGAATACGTGCCAAGCCACGGTGTATGATTTTCATATTAGTGTATCAATCATGGTAGAAGGATGCAGGTAGACGCATTGACACAGCTGCTGATAAAATCAACAGCCAAATCAATGTTGAATAAAAAATTATTTTAATTCGTTAAAATTGTTGAAAAATGCATATCATAACAACGTTAGATTGGCGTCGTAAATGAAAACACATAAAAAACTACTTATTATTGAAAAAAAAAAAACATTTTATTTTTTGACATAATTATTTTCCCTTTATATGATATAATATGTAGGTAAGTCAAAATGACGCAAACAATGAATTTAAACGTCACGCCATCAAAATAACGCCTTTATGCCGTTTATTGCGTCGACGCCTTCATTTAGGTTTTACACTTACTCTCGCGCACTGGCAACCCCATCAAAAAACAGCTGTTCTCACATGCAAGGGAATTCAGAGATTTATTCAGACAAGACAACAGACGAAGACGCGCGTGGAGTTTTTAGTATATTTTTATTAGTTTTAAGTCCGTTTTTGTTAAACAAAATTAATGCCGGTGTCATAGAAACTATTGCAGGACACGCATTAATTAAAAGGTGAGTGGAAAATGTTCAATAAAAATTGTGAATATTTTGGAAGTTGTGTTTTGTGAAAATTTTACCATTTTTATTTCTGGTGTCTCAAATGTACGCAGAAGAGTTTGGAAACACCGCCAAAGAAGAAACAATACAACAGAAGAAGGCAGGCAGAACAAGCATAAACAAAAGTAAACGTTTACCCAAACGGCGGCAAAGCTGAGCAGAGTCACAACACAACAACAACAAAAACCACCACCGCCATCATACAGCAAACGTAAACAAAAGAAAAATGGGCCGCAGTCCCTCCCCTTCCCATAGACGGCGTGAGAAAGAACGTTCGGAACGTAAAAAACGACGAGAACGTCGTTCAAGGGAACGTGAAAGGGGTGGTGGTACAACGGGTGCCGATAGTGATGTTGAAATTGTACCCACAACCAGTAGTTCCGGCCGTAGTTTAAGAAGACGTTCGCCCCATCATCGTGAACGAGAAAGGGATCGCGAGCGTGAACGTGATCGTAGCCGCAGTCGCAGCCGGGGTCGAGGAAGACGACGTTCGAGGTGAATAAAAAGTGTAGTGTATTCAAAACCAAATCGAAACAAAATGATAAGTATTCTGTTTTCTAATTATTCAAAATGTAGTTGTAGAAGAAATTTCGTTCGTGTATGGGGCTTGTAACGGGCTTTGTTGTGCTAATGGGAAATACAACCCTGTCCGGTGTCGATAAAACAGTTTACATTTTGACATTTTTTGTTGTGAAATTTGAATTTCATCAAGTTGTGTGTGAGAGAGAGAGAGAGTGAGTGAGAGCTGTCATTGAATGTGTCATTATTGTTATTGAATTCCACCGCATTTTTTGTGGCATTACCACGTGAAGTGAAATAGTTTAAGAATTGCAAAACTTTTTTTGTTGAGAAAAAAAGGATATAAATTTTGGTGAAAACAAAAGGAGTGGCATTTCAAAAGCTCGTTTCTTTTAATACACATTTCCGAGACCGGAAGTTAATTGGATATTTGCATTTGTGTGTTGAGTTTTAACATCAAAATGGCCCTGCGTGTTCAGTTCGAAAACAATGACGATATTGGCGTCTTCAGTAAATTAACAAATTCCTATTGTCTGGTGGCAATTGGTGGCTCCGAAACATTCTACAGTGTGTTCGAAGGTGAATTGGCGGAAACCATACCAGTTGTCCATGCCAGTATTGGTGGTTGCCGTATTATTGGTCGCCTGGCCGTGGGCAATCGCAATGGCCTGTTGGTGCCCAACTCTACCACCGATGTGGAGTTGCAACATTTGCGCAACAGTTTGCCCGATGCCGTGAAAATCCAACGTGTCGAAGAACGTCTTTCGGCTTTGGGCAATGTCATTGCCTGCAATGATTATGTGGCTCTGGTCCATCCAGATTTAGATAAGGAAACAGAAGAAATTATCGGTGATGTCTTGAATGTTGAGGTGTTCCGTCAAACCATTGCCGATAACACATTGGTGGGTTCCTATACTGTGCTCAGCAATCAAGGTGGTATGGTCCATCCCAAGACAAGCATACAAGATCAAGATGAATTATCATCGCTGCTGCAAGTTCCACTCGTGGCCGGTACTGTAAATCGTGGTAGTGAGGTTTTGGCTGCCGGTATGGTTGTCAACGATTGGATCTCGTTTGTGGGCATGAACACAACGGCCACAGAGATTTCCGTAATTGAAAGTGTCTTCAAGCTGAACCAAGCCCAACCCTCAACAGTGACAACAAAATTGCGTGCTGCCTTGATAGAGGATATGTCGTAAATTGGATAATTTAATTTTGTTAAGCGGAAGGACACGAGGGAAGAAGTCCCAGAAAGGATTGATGCGTTGTATCCTGGGGAAATTTAGTTTTACGCATATTTTCTCTTATATAAATCTGCTGTAATGTGTGTGACAACAAACTTATGCTGTTGAAAGTTTAGTTTTCTTCATTATTTTTTTATATATAAATTTATAATAAAAATTGTAATTTTCATTTGCAAATTGCAAATATCAAAGATAATGGGTGTTTTGGAAATAATATTCTGGGTGTGGATAGTGGGATAACAAACTATTTTAATTTGGGAAGAAGGTGTGTATTTTTTGTGTATAAACTACTTAGAGTAATTATGATATTAATTTCTAATATTTCGTTTTTTTTCCCTAACAGATCCCGTTCCTATGGCCGTGGTGGCTCTAGCTCAGCGTCAACATCATCACGCCGCCGTGGCGGTACTGCACGCACTGATCGTCCCAAAATCAGTGAAGCCGATTTAGAGGGAAAATCGCCAGAAGAAATTGAAATGCTTAAAACCATGGGTTTCTGTACGTTCGACACAACCAAAAATCGCAAAGTTGAGGGCAATGATGTCGGAGAAGTACATGTAATCCTTAAACGAAAATATCGCCAGTACATGAATCGTAAAGGTGGTTTCAATCGCCCCTTGGATTTTGTGGCATAGCATTGCCATTATTGTTTGTATGGCATCCACAGAATCACCAACACCACCACCACCAGCATCATGATCATCATCATCCTGATGATCACAACTACTCCTTAGTAGTTCTAATAATGTTAATTTTTGTTAAAGAACAAATTGAGGATAATTTTTGTGGAATTGGAAATATGGTATTTTCCAATTATGCATTTATTATCATTAGTTTGTCGCACTGTAACAAGAAACCTGCAATTTTATGCAATAGACCGGTTTACAAAATTTTACAATTTTCTAACAGAATCAAAATTTCCACCACACCACACCTACCTCTCTCATATATATAGTTATTAGTAAGACTACCTATACATAGGACATTTTTTGTTTTGTAAAAAAGAAACTAACAAGTTGAGTTTTTGTTGCCATAAATGTTTGGTCTGTTCCCGAACTGCAAGAACGTAAAAGTTTTTTCCCTTTATGATAACGAAAAAAAATTGTAAAAATAATAGATTCTTGCAGATTCTGGAACAGAGCAAATGTTATAAGCAGGAATAGGAATCTACTATAAAATAGAAATTAATATGGATTTTTTTTCAGAACCCTTCATAAGAGAGTTTCATGAATAAAGTAACTTAACAGAGTTTTAAACATAGATTTGGTATTGAAGGAAGATCTGAGTTTACCCATAAAACTATCTGATGAATCTACATTCTCTCCAAGCCATACATTAAATTTTCCAATCAGAAATTCTTTGATGATACTAAAATACCAAAACTTCTTGTATTCGAATGCAAATATCCTTGTCCATCCATATTAATTTCTGTTAACAACTAGGAGTCATATTTCTCGAAACTCAACATACACACACCCTTACATAAGACAACTTGTTTTGAATTAACTGCTGTATTCTGAATACAAATCCAAAAAAAGAAAAACCACAACAACACTACATACCATACAACAAACTCCCCCCTCCACCCCAACCCCCTACAATAGACAGTTACAAACTTACTTACACCCCATACACTCACCCACACATACACACACACAACACTTTATCCTCCATACACTGCAATAGTACAATTTTTTGTTAACTAGATTTTAATAAAATTGTGATTTTTTATTAAATATTTTTTAAATATATAAATAACACACCATATCGCCCCCTAATCCCATCCTTGATTATCCCACCCATCAATATAACCAATTCCGCCACATTTATACACACACACAACACAAACAACTCCAACAATAGACCAAATATGCAATAGCCAGGGATTTTTATTTACATTTACATTATTACCATATATACAATTGTTAAAATAGTAGAGATTTTTCTATAAAAAAAAACACAGGAAAGGAAATCACTTACCGCCTAAGCAAACAGAAGATAACAGGATTTTTATAACAATAACAATAATAATTATTATTATTATTTGAAATTGTTCAAGTGACAGTTAATTCAATCACAAGTGCCGTTTAGAATGAGAAGCAACAAGGCCTTAAGCATCAAGCATCCATATTGAAATTTGTTTGATTTGAAAGGCTTTTGTTGTCAGTTTATCAATTTTATTTGTTCTTTTTTTTCTATTTTCTGTTATTACCATTTTTTCTTTTATACACCATCACCACCACCACATCTGCAATAGTAAAAAGTTTGGCATAAACAGGGATATCAACAAAATTCCACACTTTTGGCTAATATACACACACACATACTCACCTAGTTTTTAATACGAAATTGCAGGGAGAATAATTTTTATTAATTTTAATCTATTTTTTATATAAGCCTTATATAAAATCAATCGTTTTCTTTTTTTTTCATTACTGCTCAATAAACAAGAAAAAATAAATAAATGATTTAAAAATGAAATAAAGTTTTTTTATTAGCAGCAGGGATGGGTATGGGTTACAATTTTTGGTTTAGAGAGGAACATATAAAAAAGTAAGAATTTGAGATAAAAAACAAGTAAAAAGGCTGTAAGTTCGGCCGGCCGATTTTTGCAATTTTCAAAAAAATAAATAAATAAAATAAAGAATTCAGTTAAAATCTTAAAAATACCGAATGCAGCCTTTATATTATGGTATATACGACGACTTTTGTCATAAGCCATTAAAATATTCAAATGCGAAACTTGAAAAAAAAAATCGGAGATACCATTATATGTTGGCTATACCAAAACATGGACCTGCACAGACAATTTTCTGTTATAAGCTGTAGAATCCATTACGAACTTTAAATACCAAATTTGAAACATTTCCGGTGAATAATGTAGCTATAATCCCCAAAATACCGAATTAGGAGAGGTACCATTATATGGGGGCTATATGAAGACGTGGACTTGTACAGACAATTTTCTGTCATGGGCTGTAGAATCCATTACGAACTTCAAATACCAAATTTGAAACAATTCCGGTGAATAATGTAGCTATAATTATCAAAATACCGAAAATAGGGAGGTACCATTATTTGGGGGCTATATGAAGACATGGACTTGCACAGACAAATTTCTGTCATAGGCTGTAGCATCCGTTGCAAACTTCAAATACCAAATTTGAAACAATTCCGGTGAATAATGTCACTAAAATCACCAAAATACCAAATATCGAGAGGTACTGTTATAAGGGGGCTATATGAAGACGTGGACTTGCTCAGACAAATTTCTGCCATAGGCTGTAGTACTCATTACGAACTTCAAATACCAAATTTGAAATAATTTCCGGTGAATAATGTCGCTTAAATCACCAAACTACGGAAAATATTGAGGTACCATTATATGGGAGCTATACGAAGACGTGGACCTGCACAGACAATTTTCTGTCTTAGGCTGTAGTGTCCTTTGCGAACTTCAAATACCAAATTTGAAACAATTCCGTTGAATAATGTCGCTAAAATCACCAAAATATCGAAAAAAGGGAGGTACTATTATATGGGGGCTATACGAAGATGTGGACCTGCACACACAATTTTCTGTCTTAGGCTATAGTATCCATTGCGAAATTCAAATACAAAATTTTAAACATTTCCGATGAATAATGTCGCTTAAATCACCAAACTACCGAAAATATTGAGGTACCATTATATGGGAGCTATACGAAGACGTGGACCTGCACAGACAATTTTTGTCTTAGGCTATAATATTCATTGCGAAAATTCAAATGCCAAATTTGAAACATTTCTGGCGAATAATGTCGCTTAAATTACCAAAATACCGAAAATAGGTAGGTACCATTATATGGGGGCTATATGAAGACGTGGACATGCAAATCTGTCATAGGCTGTAGCATCCGTTGCAAACTTCAAATACCAAGTTTGAAATAATTCCGGTGAATATTGTCGCTAAAATCATCAAAAATACCGAAAATAGGGTGGTACCATTATATTGGGGCTATATGAAAACGTGGATCTACATCACCCATTTTCAATACCAAAAGTCCTGCAGACATAATACACATTTGAGCAAAATTTTATTAACCTACTTCATTTCGTTAACGATAGCCACTTGTGGTTTCCGCTTGAATTCCATCACGAATAACTTTTTTTCTGGAAAATTCGCACCAAAATGCTTTTGTACGCTTGTAAACAATATAATGAGCTGTCACTGGAATAATTTTATGACAGCAGTCTGAAGTTGCAGTTTTTCATCCCACCCTGTGTATTAAACATTTTATGAAAATTTCTAAATATTCCCTACCCAATTTCAATTCCAATTTCAAATTAGAAAAAATACATATTTTCATTTTTTAGTTTTTATTATAAAAAAATAAATTTTCTCTACAAAAAAAGGAAATAATTGTGCGTATATATAACTACAGTATATAATAACAATAATCTGTAAATTTCGTTTTGTTTTTCAAGTTTTTTTTTATCACTTTATGTCACATTGAAAGAATTCGCCTCCAATGATCGATTCACCCCCTCAATCACTTATGTGCTCATAGACCACAGCTGTGCGTGCCGGAGTATAAACCTCGAAAAAGTTTTCACGACCACCATAATGTTCGTGTCGGGTCAAATGTTTACATTCCTTGTCGAGTCGACCGAAACCACCAAACTCCGCATCATCGGAGGATAGGCAAATCTTATAGGTACCCGCCCAATTAGTGCCAACACGATAACCGGTAAAACTTTGCGTCGGATGGAAATTGAAAACAAACACCAAGCCGGCACGTTCAAAGGCAATCACCTTATCGCCCTCATGTTTCCAGCTAACATAGCCTGGATCGGAATGCAACCAACCAAAACGTTCTTCCAATTGATTCATGGCACGATCGAATTCATTAAGGTATTTATATTTCAGCAGTTCATCATCGACCAGATTCCATTGGCGGCGAGCATAGTGATAGGAATCATTGTTACCGGCTCTCGGGAAATCCAGCCATTCAGGATGGCCAAATTCATTACCCATAAAATTCAAATACGCTTCTCCGCCCAGGGCATGGGTTATGAGACGTATCATTTTGTGTAGAGCCAAACCACGATCTATGACCAAATTCGGTTCAGACAACACCGACATGTGGGTATACATATCTTTGTCCATTAGCCAAAAGGCAATTGTTTTGTCACCCACCAAGGCTTGGTCATGTGATTCGGCATATGCAACCGTATTCTCCTTCCAGCGTCGATTTGTCAAGGTGTGTACAATATCACCCATTTTCCATTGGTCATCGGTAAATTCTTTCAGCAACTCAATCCATTTGTCAGGAATGGCCATACCCAAACGATAATCAAAACCAATGCCACCCTCAACGATGGGGCGACATAGAGTGGGCATACCCGAAACATCCTAAAACACAAACATTTTCTTTATATCCAATTTAAAGTATGTTATATAAATCCCATTCCATACCTCAGCAATTGTAATGCATTCCGGATTTTGTTCATGTAGCATGTGATTGGCCAAGGCCAAATAATTAAGGGCATCTGTGTCCACATTGAGACCAAAATACTCATTGTAATCTCCACTAAAGCCCTCACCAATGCCACGGGAATGATACAACATGGAAGTGACACCATCGAATCTTTACAAAAAATACAAAAATACTAAATATTTTTCAAACAAATCAGCTTCCCTTTTCTTATCTTACCTATAACCATCAAACTTATACTCATCATGCCACCATCTCAGATTTGACAACAAAAACCGCAAAACTTCATATTCCATGTAATTAAAGAGGCGACTATCCCACAGAGCATGTTCACCACGGCTGCCATCATGGAAGTAACAGCTATTGGTGCCATCAAACTGATTAAGACCATCTTGGACATTTTTACTGGCATGTGAGTGTACCACATCCAGCAAAACATAGAGACCATGCGAATGAGCAACATCAATCATACGTTTCAATTGTTCCGGTGTACCATAACGGCTGGAGGCAGCAAAGAAGCTGGTCACTTGATAACCAAAACTAGCATAATAGGCATGTTCCATTACGGCCATTACTTGTATGGCATTGTACCCTTGTTTTTTAATACGTGGCAAAATATTGTCGGCAAAATTATCATATGAACCAATACAGGGCTCCTGAGAGGCTATGCCAACATGACATTCATAGATACGCAATGATTTGGGCCTCTTTGCCTTGGGATGTTGGCATTGATAACGTTCAGCTGCCGGGGGATTCCATACATATTGCTTATAGTTAACACCCTGATTAGCCTCTTTAGGGGGTTGTTTTACATACACCGCCCAGGGAGACAATCGATCTAGCAATTGTCCCGCCTGATTGCGTATAATAACTTTGACTTCACTTAAATGCTTGATTGGTGGTGTGCCGTCGGAATTGGCGGGCAAATGTAATTCCCATTTGCCGAAATCCAACTTTTTGAATGGTGTTGCTTCCCATTGCCAGTTATCTATAAAATGTTGATAGATTATTAAAAAACTACATATTTTATTTAAAATCCGTTCACTTACTAAAATCGCCTGTTAGATAAACTTCTTTTGCTCCAGGAGCCCATTCACGAGCCACCACGGAATTATCGGGTAAAAAGTGTATACCATAGTATTTGTAACCTTGGCTAAAGGTATCCATGCCACCTTCAAGTTTTTCAATTTTTCCAACCCATTCTTGCAAGACGCCATGTCTGGAAGAAAAAAGGAGATTTAAATAAAAAAATAAAGTTTTTTGTATGTTTTATTGGTGTATGCCACAGCCAAGTTTCATTTCCCGCCAAAAATGCAGTACAATTATATAGGACTATAGACCCCTTATTAAAGAAAACTAAGACATAACCCCAACTGTTATAAATTTAAAAATGTTGATTAAAGCTATTGAGATGTTTGTGATATTAACATCAATGAAGAAGAACGTTTTTAATCTGTTTGCCATAATAAAAAAAGCTTCTCATAGAGCGTCGTTTAAAAAGACAAAAAAAAACTAAAATTCCTTTTCCAGAACTTTAGATCCCTAATCACGGTGAATGAGATAACCAATAATATGAATAATAGCCACGTATTTTAGCTGCCAGGGCATATTTTAATCAAAACTATGTCCCACGAGAAAACTATTGCGAAAGAAATATTAGTTCTTTGAGTATTATATCAATTTTACTAATAACAAATGTTTTCACATAAATCATGACTTATAACGACCTACAGATCCCTGGTTAACGAAAACGTAACTACTGTCGCCTTGCTTGCCAGTTTTATTTAAATTTTAACATTCAAGTTGTTTTAAAATTTTGTTTATAAAATGATTGAAGTTTGTATTAGCGATTTAAATTAGTTTTAATCAGAAATTTAATAAAATATCACAAAAAATACTTGATAGAAATAGTGGAAAGAAGAGAGGAGAAATTGCCTCTTTCCCCTTTCTTAGAGTATTTCTGATATGAATTAAGTTAAATGGGGTTGGTATTAAAAATATTTAATTTGTTAGCTGGAATTAAAGAAAAATACAATGTTTCTTTTATTTTTTTGCAGAAATGCTTAATACATAAATTTTGCAACAAAAATCTCAATGTAAAGAGAACAAAGCAAAAACACCGGTTGTCGTGATTTTCTCTCTCTCATTATCTCTGTGGGAAAAAGTGTTGTTTATAAACAACTTTCCAATGGAAGTGTTGACGAACGCCAACAAAAAGAAGCCATAAATGCAAAATACAAGTGTGTGTTGGTAATTGATAATGATTTCGTTTTCAATTGAAATTAGAAACAATTTAAGCAAAAAGAGACTACGCTACATAAAAAGTGACGTTGCGTTAAGATATGCAATGCCTGCACCACATGCCAATAGCACACACAAAGAATGCCCGCCATACAGCTGACGGCGCACACAGTTTGGGTGGGAAACAAAAAAAAAAAAACAACAACAAAATAACTAAACATTTGACCTTGATAATGAACAGAAAATTTGCCGGGTTTTTCTTGCCCTCTTTTCCTGTACGGAAAAGAAATTCAAGCAAATTTAATGGAAAATTTCGGATATTCTTTCACATTTCCTTTTAATTTATAAGAATTATTCCGCCATAATTATTAGAATTTATTAAAGTTTGTTCATATTTTCCCTTTGGAAGGCATGAAAACATTTTAGTTTCATCTTGATTTTCTTTTCTTTATTTTAACCTTCACTTGACATTGCCCGCATAAATTCATTTTGATTCTCAACGCATTATTATTACACAATTTTAGTTTTTGTTTCGATTTCTTTCAGAAATAATTAATACAGTGCATATATCTGCTGATTGGATTCGCTTATGAATTTTGTTTTTATCTCAACACATCTTGGATACCGCTTAATTTCACCGTTTATTTTTATTTATTTTGCACGGCATTAGAATGAAATTGTTTTGTTGTTCTTAACTATTTTTTTTACCTTCGTCGTATTTCCCTTTCGAAGGGCTTTAAATACGGATCCAACTTGAAAAGATTTTCAATTTCCTTAACTTCCACTTTCATGGGATCCATGATATCTGATTTTTGTATTTCTTTCGATTAGTTTTAATTATATATTTCGATCTCTTCCACACCGGCCAACGAATTGAATTGCATGGGATGTTCTTGACAACTGTGAATTTATGTGTCGTCGTTGTCAAGCATTAATGAGAGTGAGAATTTTTTTCTTGTGTGTGGGGGTCGATCAGCTGTTCTTCGCTTTTGTTGTGCTTTTTCATTTATTAAAGACGTGTAGGCATTGGTCGACTTTCAAAGGAGCTCTTGGAAAATAAAAACTACTGAGTTTAGGGAAAAGAGGCTTTGGATTATGTTTCTCGACAAAATGAATTCAAGAAAATGATCAGCATATTAAGTATGAATGTATATTCCCAAAATGTAATTGCCAAAGGCTTCAAAAAGGAAATATCTATTCGGGAGATAAGGAATAATATAAATATTATTAATTATGATTTAATTATTCCATTATAGATCAGTGGAATAGCAATATGAAGATTTTTAACTTCTCAATAAAAAACTTTGGACATTATCCAGCTTAGAACGACCCAACGACCTTTTAAAATAGGGCGTTATTGAACTTAGGCTAACGAGAAGGGATATATCGCTTATTCTGAACCAATGGAAATAGAAGGAAGGAATATAAGGCGCTTGTTCCGGTAGACAGCTCTTGCTGTCGTATCGGTACAATATTGAAATCAGGAAGCCCAAAAATAAATTCTGGGTTGCTTTTGGTGAGTCAATAGGAGAAGTGGGTAATTTGACCAGATTTTGCAGAGTTATTTTAAAACATCTCGTATATCCTCTAGACGGCTGTTGACGGAAGTCATTGATGAGGATAACCAGCCATTAAGAGCTCCTGTGGCCGTAACAATAATTGCAGCTTATTTTAGGTTGAAATTCTGGAGAAGGTCTTAAGGACTTGAATGTCAATAGGAATCGTGACGGTATTTTTCGATAGTCAAGCGGCCTTAAAATACTATGGAGGTTATGCTATGGCTGATCCCGTCACCTCCACCGTGCTGATATTGCATGGAGAACAATAAAAAACACAGAACCAATACGAAACCAAATTACTTCGAAAATTGCGTCGACCTCGAGCAGGACAGCGGACATAATTTGCATATTGGGACAACTAAGTGGTACAAAACGAACATTTGTCCGCTTCCCATGAAAAACCCCAAAACCCTGGGTTCAGTCAGGTAAGTATTCCCTTTGGTTTTCTGAACGATTCGCCCCCCTCTGATGTAAAATTGGATATTACTGTCATACCTCCATCGAAAAGAGGGAATGGCCGCTGACCTTGGACATTCCCACAGGACTCAACACCATCGCACTCAGCACGCACCACCTAAGAATGGTTACAAAATGAGGTTCCTCGCTTCATTTCCAGCGGAAAATGGCCACCAAAATCTCCGGATACCAATCCGTTGGACTATTGTGTCTGGAGTATTTTGGAAAGCAAGTGTGGCACTACAAAAAATACCAAAGTGTCGATTACCTCAAGCAAGCGCTTCGCCGGGAATGGGCCAAAATACCGCAGAGTTACATTCGGGCAGCGTGTGATGGTTTCATTGGCCATTTAAAGGCCATATTTCGAACAAATCTAAACTTAGGCTGTCAGTACATAAGAAACTTGAAGTCATGGCTAGGCATATTTTGTGACATTCCATAAAGGGATTACAGAGCCGCGCTAAAATCCTGCCGTCCTATTCCATATTATAATTTGAGATATTATAATTATAATTTGACATTAATATGCCTGGGCATGACTTAAAGCTTTTTATGTACTTGCATCTTTATTCTAAGATTTGATGCTATGTCCGAAATTTTTTGCTTTCATTCAATAAAATTTAAAAAAAAAAAAATTGTAGAAAATATTGCCTTTGACTTTGTTGCAGTTTGTTTTATCTTACCCGGAACCATCGGTTATTCTTCCAAAAAATTAAAGTGGCTATGGACACTATGATAGTTTCTCTTCGTGGATAACAAACTATTTGTTGTTTCTCTTCATTTTCTCTTAAGAAAACTACGTCATTTACCACCCTCCCACCATAAGTCCATACAACAAATAAAAAAACATTTTGTTTTACTTTTTTTTAAATTTTTTCTTTATTTTTTAATTTCATTTATGAAATACGTTGCTTGGTTTGTTTGTTTTGCTCTTAGAATTAGAAATTATTTTTGTTTTATTTTTTTTTTGTTTTTATAATTAAGTGGTAAATCTTGTTTTAGGGGGGGTTTCTCTTATTTTGTTATATTATTTTTTTGTCTTCCAAACGAAAATAATAAAATTATATCATAATGTAAAATATGATATATACTATAAGTATGTATGTAGTAATAATAATAATGATTTTTAGTTTATATATTAGTTTTCTTTGTTATAATAGTTCTTGTTTTTTTTATTTTGTTTGCAATAACTTAGTTAAATAGTATAAGTAGTTATAGGTATTTTATTTTTAATATTTCTTTTTTTATTCGTATGTAATTTGCAATAAAATATGTAAATATTATTTATAATAAAGAGACAATAAAGAGAGTAGGGAGGGGCGGAACATTTAAAAATAAATAAAAAAGGGAGAAAACAAAAAAAGTTTAATATATTACAATAAATGAAAATTGAAACAAAAAAAGAAAGAAACAAAAAACTGCGCCATAAAAATTTGGTTGTAATTTTTTGTATATAATAATAACATAATTATGTCTTAAATTTAACGTTTGTTTTCTTTTTTAATGATTAAAACACGAAAAAGAAGAAGAAATATATCTAATTATTAAATATATGGGTGGTTTGTTTGTTTTGCTTTGTTTGGGGGAGGGAGGTTTAATGCTAACATAAATGTTTAAAAATTAAAAACTAAATTTTATAACTAAGTTTTAAATGGTTAATAATAATAAAAAAATATCTTCTAGGTAGTAATGTGAATAGAATGCTTAAGGAGGGGGTTTGTTTGTTTTGCTTACATAAATTTGGAGGCTAACTAAAAATACAATTATCTTTTTTTAAATAACATAATTTTCATTTTTATATAAATTATATATAAAAAATTGTTTTGTAATGTTTTGAAAAATTATTTATACAGATACAAAAATGAAAGAAACACAACATCAATGTAGATGCATTTTTGTTTTTATACAGCCTATAAGATTTGACGGAACAAGTCCGCAAAATCAAAATCCTAACTTTTTGTGGGCGGCTTGTTCCCGTACGGCGCTGTTGGGTTTTACTTTTCTTATAGTTTTAGTTGTGAAGATCATTTTGTTTTACAAAATAGAAACAATTGTTTGTTTACAAAGAAAAAAACTTATGTTTTTTTTTTTGTTTTATAACACGCTAGACATTTTTTTGGGCAAGGGGGGAATAACACCAACATTTTTTAATTTACTTTTTTGCATTTTTACCACAGTCGGCTACATTTTGTGTTTTGTATTCGAATCGTGCAGAAGTAGATGGATAGAGGAATTCATACGAATTTAAATTTTAATAAATGAAAAATATACAATTTTGAGGTCATCATCAGTAAAAATCCCTATTTTAGTTAGAATCTGTTATTTTTAAAAAAGTGAAGTTTTTGAATATTTGAATACAATATGGGATTTTTTCCCTTTAAATTAAATAAAATTATGCCCGATTGATGCATACCTCAAATCTAAATAGATTTAGTTCAATGTAACTATGGCTTACAGAGATCTTTTTCTGAGAAGAAAAAAAGTGAGGTTAAGGAGGAAACAAAAAACCTCAAACTTTTGCAAAGAATTTCATGGAAAACTTAATTGGCTTTAAAATATTCACATTTTAAGAACTAAATAAAAAAAAATAATTTTTTCTATGTTTTACACAGGAAATAAAGTAATTCTATTCATTCTAAAAAAAAGTGAATTTTGAAAAAAAATATATTTTTTGAAAAAAGTTTTTTAATAATTTTTAAATCTTGAGTTATAACCAAATTTTTGTATTTTTTACAATAAAAATATTTAAAAGAAAAAATAATTATTTCAATTTAGGAAAATTTAAACTTCTTAAATCATTTAATCTTTTCAAAAACTATTGTTGATTGAATTTCCAAAAAAATAGAACTTTTCTAACCTCACTTTTATGTTCATAATCTAAATGTATTCTAACCTCACATTTTGGAATTCCATTTGTCCTCTTGACATGACATATTCAAGGAATTTTAGTAAAAAAGGTCTGCGAAATGATGAAGAATTTCCAAAAAAGAAATAATACGTTTTTAACCTCACTTTTATGTTCATAACCTAAATTTATCCTAACCTCACATTTTCGAATTCCATTTATCCTCTTGGCATGACATATTCCAAAATCGAACTAACAATCACACCAATTTTTGCCAACAATTGACATTTCCAAAACTAACTAAATGAACATAACCTCACTTTTTAAAGAACATTTTTTTTTTTGAAAACAAATACAACATTTTGTAGCATCCAAGTGCAATACATCATCAACAAATTAGATCTAATGTTAATTGCTGCTGACAAGCAATTTTTGTATTACTTTTTTGTGGTTTTGTGGAGGAGGCTCAGACTTCTTTTTGCAGGGATGTTTTTTTTGTTTATATAAATTTTTGGGTTTTTTTACAATAAAAATAGTATCAGTTTAACTGATATTTTTCGATATTGTACAATATAACTTTGTTTTTCTTTTTTTTATGTTGTGATACAGCCCTGTGTGGTTTAAGATTATTTTTTTTTGGCGGCCAAATGGAACGATTTTTTCTTTGGTTTGCAGAGAGAAAGGAAATAGTTTGGGTTGTTTCTTTTTTGATGAAATGTTTATTGAAAAAAAAAACCTTGAAAAATATAATCAAGAGGAATTTTTTTTGTTGAATTCCCATTAATTATATTTTATTTAAAAGCAGTTTTTGGAGGATTTTCAATAAAAAGTTGACCAAAAAGAGGAAATGGAGAGAGAAAAGAAAAGGAGAGCACGGCAAAGATGCACGGCCACCGTTAATGAATTCAATGATTTTACTTAAAAAATCAAAAATGCTATTTTTAAAAGAAATAAGTTGTCGGCAATATTGTCGAGGGAGGATTTGTAAAAAATCGTGCAAATTGGCCGCCGCCATTTAGTAAACCCTACGCCAATATCTGTTGTTGTTGGGCCTTAAGCAATGCTGCTGTTGTCTCATTGGAGGTGTTACTACCAGCCGTTTGTGGGGAGGATTGAGCAAGATTTAGACTGTTACTTGAAGTGACATTAGAGTTGGCTCCTCCATTACTACTACCACTACTACTATTGTTCTGACTGTTGTTATTTACCAGCGGTATGGCTGTACCATCTGCTGTTAGGATAACCGTTGTGGTTGCCGGTGTGGGTGGTGGCTGTACGGAGACAGCATTTAGTTGGTTACTTAAACTCTGTATGGCCACAATTTGTTGATGACCTGGCTTGGTTGGATGTGGAGCTGTGGTGGCCAACAATGCTCCCTGAGGCGATTGCAACAGTATGGTATTCGCCGGCAATTGAAAGCAAGTCACCGTGCCATTGGGTTGTACAGCTTGTATTATTTGTGTGGGCGTTTGATTGTTTGTTGAGATTGTTGTAGATTGCGGTACTGGGGAAGATGTCAGAAGAATTCTACTAGTAGATTGTGGATTTTCCATAAAATCATCCGGCTCCCCGGACATTAGCAAGTCCTGATGATCTGTGGATTCAACTTCTTCAATCAGTTCATGCTCTTCAATTTCATGCATTATTTGCTCGCCGCCATCTTCTACTTCTTCTTCTTCTTCGACTTCTTGGGCATGGACCACACTGATAACAGCTCCTGTCGTTGTAGGATCTTCTTCGAGATCTTCTTCAAGCATTTCTTGTTCTTGAAATTCTTGAATTTCTTCCAATTCCTCGACGGTACCCTCAGCCTCTACATCGTCATAGATTTCCTCAACATATTCCACCAGGGCCGAGGAATTATCCCCCTCATCGGTGGATGTTAGGGGTGGCGAGATTAGGGTGGTGGGTAGTTGGGATAAGTTATGTGATTCCATGGCTATTTCATTGGCATTCACCCCACCACCGCCACCACCCGCACTTGACAAATCATGGGCAAATTTGGGTGTCAAGGCAATGCCCTTGGGTATGCGGAATTTCTTGATAATTTCCTCTGTGGTTATAAGTTGAGACAAGGGTATGCCTTGATTTAAGGGGGTATTAGTATCATAGGTTTCATCATCCGTATCATTTTGGCTTTTAATAATTATCGTGGAGGTGGTGGAGGAAGATGAGCTTGCTGGCAAGGTGGAATGCCTTTGAATAACACCTCCCGTTTTAGTTGAGGTTATGATTGTATTCTGGGGCAATTGGCTGAATTGTTGATGTTGTATTGTTTGTTGTTGCTGCGATGTTGTTATTTGGGAAGTAGTATTGTGGGAATTGAGCTGATTCGTTGCTGTTAAGAGTTGAGTTGCTGCTGAAGTTGCGTTGCAGCTGCCAATTTTGCGTGTCAACAAAATTTGCACCGGTGGCTGTTGGGAATTGCTGGTAGGTAGGTTGTTGCCATTGCTGTGGACAATTGATGAAGGTGTCGTTGAGATCTTTTTCATACCGCTGTTGATTATAATCGGCGATTTGTGGCCTATTTTGAGAGATGTTGCCCCCGATGCCGCCGCCGCTGCTGTTGTTATTGTTTTGATAACTTTTATGTTGTTGCTGTTGTTTATCATTAGCGGGTTTGTGGTAATGACGTTGCCTATTGCCGTTGCCAGTGATCGGGACTGCTGATTGCTGCTCGTGCTGTTTACGCATGGGAGGAGAGAGGAAAGGAAAATTATTAAAAGATTATTATTGGAATTATTTTAATTGAAAAAATAAAAGTAGAAAATTACAATAACATGGCCCAATCATAAATTTTAGAAAAAAAATTTTTAGGTTAGTTTGAATTTTTTTTTTTTGGGAAATTAGATGTTCATAATTTATGTATAGACATGAGTATTATTTCAAAATAACTACAATTATTGCTAAAAAAGGATTCTAAAACAGTTTTTAATATATTTGAAGGATATAGAGTTTAATAGTATTATTTGAGGTTATGTGGGAAAAACTAGTTTTTTAGGGCATATTCTATATATAAAAGTCAACATTATATTTGGATAAATATATTTACTGCTAGCTGGGGGCTCTAAAACAGGGGTTTCATAAGTTAAATTCCCAGACAGTTTTTGAGGTTAGGGCGAAAAAAAATACAACTATTTTCTTTTAATTATAGAAAATAATACTTTTACCGAATCAAAACCGCGTATGTCCTTCTTAAAGAAGTTGGAGTTTTAGCTAAAAATCAACTATAACAACTATATATCCATGGTAGAAAAATACCGGAAGTCGCATCGACACGAGTGCTGGGACTATAAACTGTCAAACCGATTTTGAAATTGAAAATGTTGAATGAAAAATTACTGTAATTTATAAAAAATTTTGTAAAATGCAAATTATAACAATCTCCGATTGGTGTTGTATAAGACAATGTATAAAAATCTATTTATTTTTGAAAAAAAAAAAAAACATTTTAAAAAGGTTGACATTTAAATGTTCACGAACGTTGATGCATCTACCTGTATTCTTCTGCCATGGGACTATCTTTAAATAAAGGTGAGAATACATATAACGCTTTGTTGACTGGCTTAAGTCATTGGCTGGCTTCTTCAGAAAAGAACAAAGGAGCGAAGGGTCAAAATCGATCTAAGTCAACCTAAAACTCCTTTGTTCCTCTACGAAGAAACCAGCCGATGATTTAAGCCAGTCAACAAAGCGTTTTATGTATTGTCACCTTAAACCTTTTAATATTTAATTCACAAATGTAACATTTATTCAAATTAAAAATGACAAGTTGCTTTTGATAAGTATTAATTGAGTACGCCTAAAAATATGCAACATTTTTTGATTATTGATTAAAAAAAGAAGAAGTTAGTAGATTGGGCCTTTTTAAGTAGTTAGTTTACAAATATTGTTAGGGTTTTAGTAATTCAATACACATTAAAAGTAAACATTTAAAAAACATAGATTTGGGGGACACCTACGAATTCATTCATAACAAAATCAGTAAATTTATCGCCAAAGCCCAAGGTTATTTGCTTTTTACTCTCATTGTAGAGACGGGCCTGTGCTGCTGCCATTGCCTGTTTGGCCAAAACTTCTTCATAGAAAATTTTGGCTTCGTCAATGATTGTTGTCGTCGTTGTTGCAGTTGTGGATGTTTCTTTGGATTTATCATTATTGTTGCTACTACTTTTATTTAAATTATCCAATAATAAGGGATAATTATTGAGATTTGTTGTAGATGCTGTTGATGACGATGACAAGGATGTTGTTGCTGTTTTTGGCAATACTACTGATAATGGTGAGGATGTTGTTGTTGTTGTTGTTGATGATGTTGGGAATATTTGTGTGTCTGTGTTATGTGTATTTTTTGTTGGTGGTGATGATGATGCTGATGATGGTGATGCTAGTCCTGATGATACTTTGGATCCTGATCCATTTTTGGGCATAGGCTTTTCTAAAGGCTTTACAAATTCATGTTGATGATGATCTTGTTGGTTCTTGTTGGAGTTGTTGTGGGTTGTGTGATTATTACTTGTGTGGTAGTGTTGTGGGTTTTTAGAAAAACCTATATGAGGTTTTGTTTCAACGAGCAATAATTTGGATATTGATGAGGTTGGTTTTCCAATCGTGTGCCAAATTGTAGGCAACACACACGCATAAATAATACATAATGCAAAACGAAACATGAAAATAAACCAGATAAAAAGAAAGAAAAAAATTGGACAATTTGATTAGAATTGGTCTTTTCGTAATAAAAAGGTTTTAAACAAATGCTAGTGTCTAGTACCTTAATACTGGATTTGGAAGTAAAATAAATAAATAAAAATATAAATAATTTAAAAAAATTAAATACAAATACTTAAAAAATAATTGGAACATACAACTTGATGAGGATGATGTGATATACCATAAAAAAGGAATTTAATAAAAAAAAATAATAATAAAAAGTTCAATATTTGTATTAATTCATTTTTTAATTTCCTTGTTTTTCGGATTTTTAGAGATTATAAATATTAAAATACTAAGAATAGAAAAATAATAAAATTTTGATTTTAATTGTTAGGTCATATTATTGATATTATGCCCCACTAAAAACCAATTAGCGTATGGAAAGTTATCATGAAATAGCTCTATTTAATAAATGTTAACTTCATTTAACAAAAAAAACGTGGATTTAGATAAATTTTTTTAAAATTTCATATTTTGAGGTTATGTTGACAAATTAAAAATAATCTCCATTTCAATATTTGAAATATAAAAAGATGTAAAATGGGGTAGTAAATTGGAATATTCTTTAAATTTGGGTTTAAAATTTAAAGAAATAATTGACTTTGGCATGAAATTTAATTTTTTTTTGAGGTTAGGGTGAAATGTAAAAAATATTCCCATTTTTTCAATTGAAATAGACAAAATTGAGTACAAAATGTTATTATTTTATGGGATTTATTTCATTTTATTTTAGGAATAGACAAAGAATATTTTTTTTATTTTAGGTTAGGGTGAAAAGTATTTTTTTTATTTCTTCGATTAAAATAGAAAATTTAAGAAGATTAAGATTATTTTATAAATTTTGGTTTAATTTTAAGAAAGAAAGGACTTTGATATTGATATTGATATTTTTTGAGGTTAGGGTGAAAGGTTAAAAAATAATTCCCATTTTTTTTTCGATTAAAAATAGATAGATATTATTTTTTATGATTTGGTCCTAATTTCCAGAAAGAATGGACTTTGACATGAAATTTTGATAATATTTTTTTGAGGTTAGGGTGAAATTTTATTATATTTTTTTGATTAAAATAGATTAAATTATGGGTTTAATTTTATTCTTTTATGAATTGGGGGTTAATTTCAAGAAAGGCCAGAATTTTTTGAGGTTAGGGTGAAATATCAAATGCTTTACCTCATTTTTTGATTAAAATTGATAAAATCAAGAAGCTCATTTTTTATTTTATAAACTTTAAGTTTATTTTCAAGAAAGTATGGAAATTTTGAAAAAAAAATTGTGAGGTTAAGGTGAAATATCAGAATTTGTTCACATAATTTTTCATTTTTCGATTGAAATGGATAAAATTTTATTATTTTTTGAATTAAGGCTTAATTTCAAAAAAATATGGAATTTGACATGAAATCTTGAAAATATTAAGTTAATATATAAGATTTTTTTTTCATTTTTTGATTATAATCGATAAAATCGAGAAGTTATTTTTACTATTTAATAAATTTTGAGTTTAATTTCAAGAAAGTATCGAATTTGATATGAAATCTTGAAAAAATGTTTTTTGGGGTTAGGGTGAAATTTTATCTTTTTCTCCATTTTTTCGATTAAAATCGATTAAATCAAGAAGTAAATTTTATTAGTTTATAAATTTTGAGTTTATTTTCAAGAAAATATCGAATTTGACATGAAATCTTGAAAAAAAACAATTTTTGAGGTTAGGGTGAAATTTTATCTTTTCCCTCCATTTTTTCGATTAAAATCGATGAAATCAAGAAGTTAATTTTAATACTTTATAAATTTTGAGTTTATTTTCAAGATATATCAAAAAAAATTTTTTTTGAGGTTAGGGTAAAATTCCCCTGTTTTTCACATTTTTTTCGAATAAAATAGATAAAATGATGGACCAAATGTTATTGTTATTAAAGATTTTATGCTTAATTTCCATATAGAAAGGACTATGGCGAGAAATCTTAATTTTTTCGATTTTGAGGTTAGGTTGAAATATTTTACCCTTTTTAAGTTTAAAATATAGAAATCTATGAATCTATCTATATTTGTGTGCTGATCAATTGAGAACAAATTCAAAATTTTATGAAAAAATGTAATTTTTCTTTTCCATTTTTTTTTTAAATTTCACATTTTTCTAAAAACAATCCATTTTTATGAGAAATAATCATCCGTTTAAGGTTGGCAATGAATTAATACAAATTATTGAACTATTGTATAAACATAAAAAAATTATCAATAAAAAATAAAAGTAAAAAAAAATAACTTAAAAAAATAAAACAAACAAAAAATCCACATACCTTGAGAATTTTATTATTAGTGATTAAAAATATTAAATTTTGTTTTGTGTTTTTTACAACAGAAAACAAAAATAACAAAGATTTTTCTTGATTTCTCTCAGATGAGGAGGATGAGGATTTTGTGGGGGAGACTGACCTCTCATCATAAAGAATACAAAACATTTTTAGTAGCCCTGCTGGTGATGATGATCATATGCTGACGATGATTGATGACGTTGTGATGATGATGATGTTGGTGGTAGTTGTGATGTTGTTAGGTGTTATTTTACAAAGTGTTGAAATGCGAACCGCGTTTTATGGCCTTCAAAATTGAAAACTATATAAACAAAGAATAGCTCTATTGGGGCCATAGTTTGAACTATGCCTTTAGATGAGGTGAGAAGTGTTCCCTAGGCTTTTGGATGTGCCTGAAAAATCGCTTTCACCATTACCGTTTTTAGAGGGCTAACAGCACGGCTTCGTTGATATCGTAACTATTTTATTTTTCGTTTTTGTTATTGTTTTTTTTTTTTGTGGATGGTAATGTGAATATTTTGTGTGTGTGTGGACAAAATGAAAAGGATATAAAAAAAGAAAAGAAAAAAAAAAACATAAATTAAAATCATATGAATTGAATATTTAAAAAAGAAAAAAAAATTGCTTAAAAAAGATAAAGTAAAAAGTATTTCAAAAAATATTTAAAAAAAGGCAAACATAGCAAATGTTTTACTTCAGGGGTTTCCCATGAAAAAAATACTCTAATTTTTTTTCAAATAAAATGCACAAAATTTTACAAAAAAAAAAAATGAGAAATAAAAAAAAAACTATATAAATACAAAAACTTAAGTAAAAATACATGGAAACTAAAAAAAATAATACAAATTACTCAATTAAGTTCTTTTGCAGACTTGCATTTCGAGGTGTAGTGTAAGAGCAAGAGAATGTTGTATTGGCAAATAGTTTTAAACAATTTAATAGAGAATACAAAGTAGTATCGTTTGGTAAAGTAGCAGCAACAATAACAATACATCTTTTATGTAGTTTTCATTTTGCAAATGTTTAATAAGTACACAAGATTTTACATTACATATTGAATACAATTTAAAAAAATAATAATAAATTCAATACTAAATTACATTAAAAAAGTTTGCTTAAAAAGTGTTTAGAGATCTTTGCTAACATTTGCTTCAAAATTATGGAGATTTTTTCTAAAAAAAAAAACTTTTTTTTTGAGGTTATGTTACCAATTTTGACTTTTACTGCTTAAAATTGTGAAATTTGTTCACATTTTACTCTAAAATGGAATAAATTTCACTATTGGTCCTATAAATAATAAATTTTTATGAAAATTAGGAATTTTTGTAAAAAAAATGTAAACTTTTTTGAGGTTATGTTAATTTTTTTTTTTTGAAAACTCAAAATTTTGCTTCATTTGAAGATGAAAATGTAAAACACTGTCACAACTTAAAAAATTTCATACAAAAATCTATAATTTCTATAAAAAAAAGCTATTTGAAATATTGAGGTTATGTCACCTCATTTGGTCTTTTGTGGGGAAATTATGAAATTTGTTTGCATTTTACTATGAAATGTAAAATATTAAACAATTTGGTCTATATATAAGTATATTTGTATATATAAATCTTACTATTGGTACTATAAATAGTAAATTTTTATGAAAATTCGGTATTTTTGTAAAAAATAGCAAACTTTCTTGAGGTTATGTTGTTTTTTTTTTTTTTTTGAAACTCTAAATTTTGGTTTTTTTTAAGAATGAAAATGTTAAACACTGTTACTACTGATTAGCATTTTATACAAAAACTGATTATTTCTGTAGAAAAAAACATTTCCAATTTTTTAGGTTATTTTACCTATTTTGGCCTTTTGCAGGAAAATTGCGAAAATTTGTAAAACATTTTACTATTTTGTCTATATTGAGGTATAGTTTTGGGAAGAGTTGAAATTTTTTTACGAACATTTTTTTCAAATTTTTTTGAGGTTATGTTTAGTTTTCTTAAAAAATTCTAATTTTTTTTAATTCAAGGAGGAAAATTTTAAACATTATTACTACTGATTAGCATTTCATACAAAAAGTAATAATTTCTGTAAAAAACGTTTTGATTTTTTGTAGATTATGTTATCTATTTTGGACTTTTGCTTAATTTTCTAAAAAAATCTACATTTTTTTTAAATTCAAGGATGAAAATGTTAAACATTGTCAATACTGATTAGCATTTCATACAAAAACTGTTTATTTCTATAAAAAAAACTTTTCAATTTTTGAGGTTATGTTACCTCTTTTGGGGAAAAAATTTGAAATTTGTTTGCATTTTATTATAAAATGTAATATATTTCATTAATAGCCTATAATAAGTAAGTTTTTAAGAAAAATGGACATTTTTGCAAAAAAAAGTTGAACAAACTTTTTTGAGGTTATGTTGAATTTTTACTCGAAAATCGAATAATTATTCATTCTAGAGTTAAACTGGAAGATATAGAAGTGAATATTAATAGAAATGAATAGAATTTTGTACAAAAATTAATAATTCCTATTAAAAACAATTTTTTTTTGAGGTTATGGCTTTTTTTGGACTTTTTTTGTTTAGAATTGCGAATAATTTTTTGCATTTTGCTCTAAAATGGTGTACATTTCGCAAAAGTTCCATAAATGAAGAGAGTTTTGTAAAAAAGTGAGAATTTCCCTTAGAAAATATTTTTCAATTTTTTTGAGGTTATGTTGCCAATTTTCTGGGCTCCACTTTAAAATTGCGTAAATGGTTCTATATTTCATCTAAGGCTATTATTGAAATGATCTACAAAAATATCTTTTTGAGGTTATGCAGGAATAAATCTCATACTGGGGCTTACCAAGATCTCCAAACATTTTTTAAGTAAAAAGTGGTGTTTACAAAAAAAAAAAAAAAATAATATTCCAAACTAGAAAAATTACATATTCAAAACTTAAAAATAAATGAATTACAACAAATAAATACTAAAATACAAAATAAAAAAAAATAATTATAATAACTTTAAGCCAACATTTTCAACTCTACAAAAATCCGGGCAACTACCAACAAAAATAATGGAAGTTTCGATATACGATATTTTGAATTATTCAAAACGCTACAAGATTACACAGGCAGGCAGCTTAAACTGGAGTTCAACAAATTTAAAGATGCTTCTACTTTTGCTTTACGGCTCACTCGCGTTTGTCCAGCTGGAGGTAAAACAAGACACACAGAGGCAGGCAGGCTCAAACGGAGGAGTGGTTGTTGTTTGGTTTTAGTTTCTAACTAATATTTATGTTTCAGTTTCATTACCTAATTTCTTTGGTTTCCAATAGCGATGAGGAATTCACATCACTGACCGCATTGATCATGGAGGTGGGTGAGAACGGCAGATGATACATTGATGTGGCCGCATCCAGGGAATAGGCATCGGCGCTCTTTATCAACAAATCATTTTTCAATTCCATAAATTGATGATGATGGTGTGGCGGTGCCGATAAGGAGGGCAGGGTGTGGTGATGTGTCGCCGCCGTTTGATGATGTTGCAGGTGTTGCGGCTGCTGCTGCTGCTGAGGATGGTGGTGGTGATGATGTTGCTGTGTTGTGTTGCCATGATGTGTTTGATGATGTATGCTGTTGTTGTTGCTGCTGTTGGCAGATTGATGATGTTGCGGGTGTAGTGAGGGATCAGCACTGGATGTCAAATGACTGCTAAACGTATAGTGGGGCGTTGTCGTGGCCATGGTATAGGGACTCAATTCCAATTCATTATGTTCCAATTTCGTGGCTGCCGCCTGATAGCTTTGCAGACCATCTGGTGTCAGAATTTGATAACTTTGCACCGTACCAATGACATGTTGCTCGGGTATTGTGGCGGGTACTGTTGTTGGGGTGGCAGCCGATGCGGATGATAGATAGGTGACATTCTCCAGTTCATAGCGTTGCTGTTGTGGTTGGTTTGATTGCTGACTCGATGTGTTGCTGTGACTAGTGGTGTTGCTATTGGAATTGGCCGTGCTCGAGTTGTTGTTATTCTGGGCACCGGCTGGTTCCACTTTAATGTGTGTCGTCGCCGCCGTTGCTGGATGTGGGGCGGTGGTTAGTAGAGTTTGCTGATTCCCTTGGGTTTGTATGATTTGTTGCCTAGCCGTGGCCTGAGCTGGGGCAGCTGCTGGCGCCGGCGCTGTGGTATAAATTGTCTGGCCACCATCCAGTGTCTGCAAGGATTGCAGCGGCACCAAATTTCCTGCCTGATCTTGTATCATAATACTCTGACCATGCAGTTGTTGCTGCAGCAAGGCCTGTTGCAAATCGATTTGATTCGAATAGATAAGGGTTGTGGTACCCGGCGAATGAGTCTGAGGAGCAGGTTGTGTGGCGAGAACTCTTTGTGCCTGCGGCTGCATTAGGCTGGAGGTGGCACCTGGGTTGGCCAAGGCCAATTGGGCACCACCGGGTAAAATCATGCCACTAAATTCCAGGGGAGGTAATTGCTGAGATTGCTGTTGCTGGGGCTGATGAGCGTTGGTTTGCTGTTGACTTGCCGGCTGTATGATGGTGTTCTCTTGTATATGAATGCCGCCGCCACCACCACCGCCACCATTTGAGTGATTCGAATCGGCATTTTGTACCTCATCCAAAACACTATCGATTTGAGCCAATCGCTTCTTCACAGCATCATCTTTACTGGGCACTGCCATATCAATGGTATTGGCCAGACTGTTGCGCGGTTTACGGGCCCTCGGTGTCCTGCCCGTACTATTTCTGGCCCTTTTGGCCGGTGGTGGTGTATCGGCAGCATTATTTTTCACCGGTGTGCCATTGGGAGTCTCCGGCACAGGCATATCACCATGCTTATCCTTTTTGTGCATTTTCATTTTATCCGGCCGCGAAAACTCCTTATTGCATATGGGACAGGCAAATATCTTGCGATTATCACCCTCGTGGAAGAGGTAGGCATGCCTTTGGAAACTGTATTTATTCTTGAACGTTTTGTAGACATCATTTTTGGCACAGACCAAACAATATGAGACACCATCGATGATGTGTTCATAGCGCTGGATGTCCAGGCCACGTACAGACATTTTTTCCAAATATTCCCCCTGTTCATCGGCACAAACGGAGCGAGTCTTGCGTTTGCGTTTCTGCTTGCTGGTGGATAGGACCACCGGATTGTTGGCATTATTATTATTGTTGTTGTTATTGTTATTATTATTATTCCCCGGGGCCGGGATGACAATGGTTTCGGTAATAATTTGATTGTTTTCCTTGTCATGATGGGTAATGGTCTGATAGGTAACCCCACCGCCGTTTTGTTGATCCTTTTGTGGCGAGGCAATGCTTTGGAACTCCTCATAGCTATCATCATCCAGACTTTGATCTTCATACTTTATAATCACCTCCTGTTGTTGATGATGTTGCTGCTGCTGTTGTTGCTGGCCATTGTTTTGTTGTATAATATGATGATGATTATCATTGATTTCACTTTTGATCACCTCATATTCACTACCCTCAAATTTTATAATGGTACTGCCCCCCGTCACACCATTACCTCCAGCTCCGCCCATATCCGAGGAGCTGCCGCCCTCAGCGTCATACGGTTCGTAGACAATGGTTGTTGTGGGTGTGCTAGAGGGATGATGCTGCTGTTGATGATGTTGGCTGCCATTGGATGCTGGGCCGGGAGCAGTCGTCGTCGTTATATAGTGATATTGTGGAGCATGCGCCTCCGAGCCTGGCAATTCACTGATGTTTGTTGTTATCGCCGAGTTGGAGACAGCATGATGTTGCGGTGATGCACTGGACGTGGCCGTGGGCGCAGTTGATGCTGATGATGTTGTTGTTGTTGCTGGGGCAGTTGTTGTGAGCAGCAGTGGAGATGAACTAATAGTGGTGACCACATTGTCTTAATTTTTAAAAATTCGTTTATTTTAAAAATTAAATGTGTTTTTGCGAAATTAATTGGAAAAAATATATTGGTTCATATTTTTTTTTTTGTTTGTTTGTTTTTGCGCAAAAAACCAAGGAGAAAAAAACGGAATAAATATAAAAATTAATATTGGAAAAATAATTTGTTGGAAAAAATTCAGGTGTTGTTGTTGTTTTTCTAATTTAAAAAAAATGAAAAAAAAAGAAATAAAACAGCTAAACCAACTCGGTAGACAGCTAAGGGGGATTTCATAAAATAACAAATGGAGTGTTTTTAGAGGCCCAGAACCTCAATTCTTCTTTCCTTACAATTTTTGGGTCTTCACTTGGGAGCCAGTCTGCAGGAAGAAAAACAATTTCATGAAATAAATATAAAATTGTCACTCCTCAAACTCAATTTTTACCATTTTTGTGTTGTATTATGGTTTAGAGGTTCTGGTCAAAAATAACAACGACTAAGAAATATTTTTGATTTTCTTTCCCACTTCTCTTCCACAAATTTCGATTTACCTCTATTAATTTTAGTCATTGAATCAGCCCTAAGTAAGTTCATAAGATGATGCATGAATGTTTCTTCTCCATTTTTACTTCACCCTTCTTCTTCAACCAAAAAAAAAAAAATTAATATTTATCCTTCCATATTTGAAAAACTGAGTTCTGGTCATTTTTCATTTCTTGCTCCCTCCCTTTCTTCCAAAAATGTCGCTTTTCTTCTACGAATATTTATCGTTGAAACAGTCCTAAGGTATTTCATAAGTCTTCATGAATGTTTCTTCTCCATTTTCTCTTCACACTTCCCCCTTCACACTTATCCATGAAACTTCCTCGCATCTGACTACCGAGTTGTCTACAAAGTTTGGTTGCTTCTTTTGTTTTCTTGTACTAATTTATTAAAATGAAATTAAACAAATGGATTACAATTTAAAAAGAAAAGAAAATGTGAAAACAATTGTTATTTAGATCAATGAGAAAGAGAGGACCATGAGAAAGTGACACTCTCAGTTACTGACATTTGGCGCCAACTAACTTATTTTGTTTTGTGGCGCCTTCAACTATGCTCAGTCTCTGCCTTTGTGAGTAACAAGAAACGGTAATTGAGGGTCATTCTTCAATTTTGGTGTATGGCAAATGTCACAATTTCTTGTGTATTTCTTGTATATTATCGGAAAATAGATGGGTCCTTTCTTTATCTAATCTAAACAATTTCAACTAAATAAAAATAAAGATTAAAAAAAAAAAAATACTACAAATAATAAATTTCATATACACAACGTTTGTTTACACAATTTGTAGGAAATAAATATTATTTTTATTTAAAATAATAATAATAAAAAAATAATAAATAAATTTTGTTAGATAAAACTACAAAAAATAATAACTTAAAAATTAGAAATAATAAAAATAACAAAGAATAAAGGCCTTTGTTTTGAATATATTATATTAACAAAAATATTGTTTTACAACTCCCATGATATAAACGTGTTTGAAAATACAATAATAAACATCTCTTGTGTTGAGTTGATGCAAGTAAAGAAATTTATTTCCTTTTGTCTTATAAACATTAGTAATTTTTTCTAGGGGATTTTTTTTTTTAAATTTTGTGCATTTTATAAGAAGAAAATTGTTACAGAGTTGAAAATAAATATGTATTTCTCCAATTATACACTGCATTGCTTGCTTGTCTTCGGAAAACGAAGAATGTCTTTTGATTTCAAAAAAATATCCGGCTGCTTTTAGGCTTAACTTTTTATATCGTATTTTTGTTTGCAAAGTAAAATCACATCTATTTTAAATGAAGAGAAATAATAATAAATGAAATGCTTATATAATAGTTATGTGAGTGGGCTGGAGTGTATGATGTTAGAGATAACAATATGAACGGGGGGTGATGGGTTGGGGGAACAATACAAATTAGAATTATAGGGAAATTTCACGAAAGAACAACTACGAAGGAAGACTAAAGAAGGAATTTAAAATCTTTCCTCAGTTTTCTTTGCTGAAAAATTTTCAATTAGAAACAATAGAGGGATGTATTAGTTTGCGTTCAGGGAATCGGATGAAAATGATTGGGATATTTATGGAAAACAATAGGTATGACCATTTAGACTAATGGTTTCTTGTGGAATGTTTTGTACTTGGGCATATTAGTGACCGAACCAATATTAAAAGGGACTTTTTGTTGAATTGAAGGAATTAACATGGTGTTGTATTAAATGTTTTTTGTTGGCGAATTATTTAAACAATTAGGCAGGTATTAGTAGGAAATGAAAACATAAAACATAAAAAAAATATTAATATAAACAAAACAAAAAAAATGTAAAACGTAAAATTGTTAAAAGAATAGTATAAAAAATTTTACAAATAAAAAAATAAAATGTTAGTAATTGTTTAATAATTAACAATGAGTTATGATGCATGATTTAAAGAAAATAAAAAATAAACACAAATTTTTATATAAAACATCAACAACAAATAGATAAAAAGTTATAACAAAAGTAAAAATGGTAAATAAAACAATTACATTCAAGCAAGATTACACGGTGGAACAAATGGGTTTATTATTAAAATATTTCTTTATTTCATTTATTTTTTTTAATTTAAAAGAATTGTCAAATTTTTATCGAAACTACGTTTTTTTTTCTTCCTTAAAATTTGGCGTACATTTTTGACAAGTGTCTCAAAAAGGCCTGGGTCACCATTTTGTATTGAATGGCAACCCCAATAAGAAACAATAACGGTCTAAGTTAAATGGCTTCCTTCAAATTTGGCGCAAAGTTTGTCAAATGTCGCAAAATATGACATGGAAGTAACGGCAAGTTTAAATGTGAAGGAAACGGAATGGAAAAATAACAGAAAAAGTTCTTAATTCTCTCGCCCTCACCTTGGAACTCTTTATTTATAAATAGAACTATTTCTTGCCAGCCACAATGTTTCATAGAGTTGCCATATTTTTTCTTAAGTTAAAAGAGGTATTTTAAATCTTGTTCCACTGTGTAATTTGTTTAAAGAAAAAAAAAACGCTAATAAAACACAAAATACAAATAAATATTATCAAAACAACAAAACATTTTTCTTAATGTTTATAAAAACATGTAATACTTTTAAGCGAAATTTTTGTCAAACTTACCTTGTTGATTTACCTCGTGAGAGGTAGTAGTGTGTTGTTGCTGCTGCTGCTGATACGTTTGACTATCACATATAATTTCTGATTTATATTGATAGACAGCGCCATCTGTACTGGTGGTTGTAACCGACATGGGACTAGTTGTGGTATGAGTTGTTGTTGGACTTAAAGTCACTGTGGGTGCCTGCATGGTGATGTATTGGGGCTGATGATGGGATGGAATGCCATTGAGTGTGGTCACAGCTGGTAACATGGTGGCGGTGACAATTGTGGCCTCTGTTGTGGTAGAAGAAGCTGATGATGCTGCGGCGCTGTTGTTGTTGTTGTTTTCACTGCCAACTTCTTTTTGACTAGAATTGGTTAATATTGTTTCCTGTTTAAGGGATTCAATATTAGTAGTAATAATAGAGGGAGGAGGAGCAGCCGAATTATTACTGCTATAAATGATGATGTTGTTGTTGTTGTTTATGGATGTGGTAGATGTGACAGATGTCTCGATAGCGGTCATTGGTGTTGTTGCTGCTAGTTGGGTCACCTGATGTTGTTGCTGTGATGGCTGCTGCGGCTGCTGTTGTTGACTGAGTTTTGGTATTTTCCCTTCGAATTTACGTTGCTGTTGCATAAATTGTAATGAAGGATGGTCGTTAGATGTTATTGTCGTTTGTGATTTTTCTGTAATAACGTTTCGAAAGAGTTCTATTAAACCAAAAAAACATTACAGTATTGTGACGAAAAAAAAGAAATAAATAAAAAATTAAATTAAATAAATAAAATTATGCATAAAAACAAAAATAAAACGAGCGTGTTTAGTATAAGAAAGAGAAATGAATTAGAGAAAAGAGCGAATAAAACAAAATGTTAGGAGTAAGCAGCAAGGTTTGACAAAAAGAGGGATAAAGGGTTATAAATCTGGTTATTTTTGTGATTTTCCATTAAAAAATTGTAAATGTTGTATAATATTGAACATTTTAAAAACTAAAATGAAAAATGATCTTTGGTTCTTAAATGGTCTTGATTTGTAAGCATTATTTACTCTTACGTTTAAGTAATGTCATGGCACGTATGTTATTTGTGTCTGCTTTTCCAATGAAAACGATTGCAAAATTGGTTGAAAATAATAGTTTTGTTAACAAATTGTGTTGGCAACATTATTTTCCAACAGAAAAATATAAAAACATTGTATTAAATCAGCATTTTAGTGACTTTTAAACATTACGTTAAGAGTACGTTCTAGTTGTGTCAAGTACCAAACACAAATTCTTAATGAAAATGTAATTAACTAAAATTGTAACTAAAAATTGTAATTTCTGAATAATTTCTATTAATTTAATGTATTTTCTATCACAAATTATCTTTGAATTGAATTTAAATGTATTTTAAAGCGTTACGTTAATCACACGTCGCAATTACGTTGCATTACGACGAGACATCATTGTTATTGCTTTCTATTGTGAATTGTTACTTTGTATGAAAATAGAAAAAATCACAAAACGCCTCAAAGTAGGCAACACATTTTGGTGTTATCATTCCAAAGTGAATAATTGGAAAGGAAAACAAGACAAACTAATGGATTGGCAAGGAAATTAAGAATATTTCGATAAAAATTATTAAAAAAAAAAACATTTAAAGAAAATAGTTGTTAATCAAGCAAAATTAAATTTGTTAATAGAAAAAAATAAACCAAAAACATGTACTACTACATTAATGCAACTAGTGTATCAATCAATTGAAAATATGGAATCCAAAAGCAGACATACACGAGAGGAAAGAAGAATTAGTAACCGAATGGTGGTGTGTGGAGTAGTGGTGGTATGGTTGGTTGGTTGGTGATGATGGTGATGTTGGAAATATTGTACGTAATTAAATATATAGATATTGTTTAATTTAATTACAGCACCCAAAGTTAGTTTCCCCTTAGACATTATTTGGGGGATTTGCATAGAAGAAAATTAGCTGAAATGATGATGATGGGGGACTTGGTGGATATGAGTGGTAATGTTGTTGGTTTGGGGGAATGCAGGAGTTGTTTATTTTTGGGTACAGGTATGTGATTTGGTGTCGATGGAGGTGGGGTGTTGGGGAAACGAGCTCTCTATTTGTTTTTATAGTTTGCGACTTTTTTTCTATTTTTTTAGGTTACATATGAATGCCCAACAAAAATTCCCTTCTTTTATCACACAATCATTCGGAGGCCTTTATTAAGCGCTCACCTCCTCCTCCTCCGCCGCCTGCTCCAACAATGCCATTACCACAAGATGTTTCGTTTTTTATACAGCTCGCCGCCGAACCATTGAAGCCAGACGACGACGACGACATTGCACTGAAATTAATTGGGCTCGTTGACGTTGAGGATGCCCCTGATTTGTCCTCATTACGTTTGCGTTTCACGGGTGTTTTGCGTGGTGATTTGCTGGGTGTCTTTTCCGTTTTGGAATTCGTTCGACTGCGACCACCGGCTGTCTTAACACTTGTGGCCGTGGTTGAAGATGATGTGGATGAGGCCGGTGAAATGGAACGATCGTCTTTTGTTTTATCTTTGCCACGAGGGCTGCGTCCTTTATTGCTGTTGCGTGAGGTGGCTGTACGCCTTTTCGATGCCAGCCAATCATCGTCGTATTCCGCATCAGTTTTGCGTTTATTTTTACGTTTTTGAAAGTTGCGTTCTTCTTCATCATTATCCTCATCTAGAGCGAGGGTAGAGTCGGAGAAAGGAAAAAAAATAATGGAAAATAAATGAAAAATTCCCTTGGGCCTTAGAAACAACAATCTGCCTGCCTACCATCATCTATGTAAGCTAATAGCTCCTTTTTCGTTTTAAACTGGGCTGGACTCTGTAAACTAATGTCGACTGCCGGTTCGCTTTCATCGCCACCCACAATTGCTGGCTCTTCCTCCTCATCGTCCAGGGTCAGAACGCTTTCCTTCAGCACTGCCTTGATGTCATCCGGTATATTTGGATTCTGCTGGATCTCATCGAGATCTAAATCCGGATTACGCTCTTTAAACGATTTCTGTTTTGTGGGATTGCATTGTTTTTTCATTCTTTGTAGGATATGTAACGGAACATCATCACTGGCACCCCCATTGCTAAATGGGGTACCGCACCAGTTCAGGGGTGAATGGTTAAAGAAAAACAAACAAAAATGTTAGGAGAATTGATACGATTAGCGGAACACAATTTTGTGGACATACTTTTTATTGCACATTATGTCCAATTGGCTGGGCGGAGGTGCCGGCACAATGGCATTGGGTGGATCTTCGGGATGTAGACCGTAATCGGTGCCCTCCAACCAGGCTTGATAACGGTCCGGCTGGAAACGTTTGACAAAGGTATCCATGGAAATTTTCACCATGTCATTGCTAACAGAAAAAAAACAAACAAACAAACGCAAGGAAATGAGCCTTGTTCTCATGAATGGCGGAGATGGGGGAAAACACAAAGCTAACCTGCAGGTACATTGTACGGCCCGCTTGCCGTATTCAATCCAACGTTCCATGGCAAAATTTGTCGACTCGGCACAATTGAAGCCATGATTAAAGCCAGCATGATAGCCAAAGGGAAATGTTATCATTATTTCACCCTTCTCTTGGGTTATCTAAACAACAACAAAACATGGTTACTTTTTGGAATAACTGGGTTGTCCTGCATTTGCGTGCTCACCTTATTAACCGGCACATCGTGTTGTTTTAAAATCTGTGGACTTATCAGTGTCATTTTGTGCCTTAAATAGGCATTACAATTTTTATAGCTGGCCGGAAAATATTGATTGGCCACCTTTTCCAATTTCCTGCCGTACTCTGGCGGCACTGCATACCAGGTTTTTGGGGCACCAAAGTGCAAATAATTTATGGAATACAGATCCATATCTTCGGTGTGCCAAGCAAATGTGGTCTTCCACATGCCGAAGTACAGATAGGCCGTGTTGACACCATCAATTTGTATGCCATAGTCTTCGTTGACATAGTCGAGTATGGTGCCCAAACGATTTATGTTCCAACTCTAGTTTGGGGAAAAGTGAGAGAAAAAGAGAGAGACAAAACTTTTTAGAGAACACGACGAATATGGTGAACGGAGACGGGAGAGTTGAATGAAAAAAACCGAGAGAGATAGGGATTTATCTGTCAGGCTGAAAATGCATATCGAAAGGGGGGGGTTTATGGGAAATCTGCCGGTTAGTCTTACAGAATGGCGATCTCCTTGGGAAATCTGGATTTATCTGTCAGGATGAATATCGAAAGGAAATCTGTAATTCAGGTGGAAAATTTTTGGAAATATGCTATTTAGCCTCACAGAATGGCGATTTCCTTGAGGAAATCTGCAGACCAACCTCACTGAATACTCATTTCCTTGGGAAATCGGTAATTCAGCTTGGCTGAATGAGGATTTTTATAGAAAATCGGAAATTTTTAGTAGCTGAATGGCGATTTCCTTGAAAAATCTGGATTTATCTGTCAGGCTGGAAATGCATATCGAAAGGAAATCTGCAATTCAGGGGGTATTTTTTGGAGATATGCCATTTAGCCTCACAGAATGGCGATTTCCTTGGGAAATCTGCATATCAACCTCACTGAATAGTCATTTCCTGGGGAAATCTGTAGTTCAGCTTGACTTAATTAGGATTTTTATAGAAAATCGGAAATTTTTACTAACTGAATGGCGATTTCCTTGGGAAATCAGGATTTATCTGTCAGGCTGAAAATGCATATCGAAAGGAAATCTACAATTCAGGGGGAATTTTTTGGAAATATGCTATTTAGCCTCACAGAATGGCGATTTCCTTGAGGAAATCTGCATACCAACCTCACTGAATAGTAATTTCCTGGGGAAATCTGTAATTCAGCTTGGCTGAATGAGGATTTTTATAGAAAATCGGAAATTTTTAATAGCTGATTGGCGATTTCCTTGGGAAATCTGGATTTATCTGTCAGGTTGAAAATGCATATCGAAAGGAAATCTGGAATTCAGGGGGTATTTTTTTGAAATATGGCATTTAGCCTCACAGAATGGCGGTTTCCTTGGGAAATCTGCATATCAACCTCACTGAATAGCCATTTCCTGGGGATATCTGTAATTCAGCTTGTCTGAATGAGGATTTTTATAGAAAATCGGAAATTTTTAATAGCTGAATGGCGACTACCATTGAAAAAACTGAAATTTAGCTTAGCTGAACGACGATTTTCATAGGAAACCTAGATCCCAATTTCCATCCCAATTTTAGCTTAGCTGAACGACGATTTTCATAGGAAACCTCCATCGAAACCTGGTCGAATGACAATTTCTTTGGAAAATCTGCAATTAAGCCTGGCTGAATAATCAGATCCTTTAAGAATTTTCAATCTCAATTGGCTGAATGACAATTTCTATGGGAAATCAGCTATGCATAGCCAAGTTAAGTGATTTTTGCATCTCAGCCTTGTGAAATAGTAAAAACCCCATATCTTTCCTCCGTTCTTCCATCCAACACTCTCTGAGTTTTGGGGGGCGCGCCACACCAACTTACATCTTGATCGGGATCTGTTATGCTCCCACTAACATCCGCCCCATATATGGGCGCTACATATGTGATATTTTTCCAATATTTTCGCTCCAAATCTTCATAATCGAAATGTTTGGGTGGACAGTAGCGTTCAGTGTTGGCCAAGTCACGAAATTGTTTAACAGTCAGCGGTTTCTTTTGTATATTGATCTGTTGATAGAGACCCTGTTTGCCGGTCACCACTTGGCATATGGGTGCGGGAATTGTGATTTTCAATGCATCCAAATCTTCATAGCCCTGTTTGCGTGGTATCCACTCGGGTGGCGGTACCACTTTGGCCAAACCGGCTTTGTGTGCACCCTGAGATTCCATGTAGGCTATGTATTTGGGAAAGTCTTTGAACTCTTCCCATGACGGCCGAAAGACCATTATTCGCGGTATATCCGAGGTGTTCGATGACATTTTTGTTGTTGTTTTTTTTTTTTGTAGAAATTATTTCTGTTTCCTTTTGTTGTGTTTTTTTTTTTTGTATTTTAAAAGGAATACATGTAATTACACATTTAATCTGGAAGCGAGAGAGAGAGAGAGAAAAAAATCATATAGAGAATGGGAGATCTTTCATAAGAGATTTGACATCTGTGTGCTTCTTCTTTTTTGATGACCCAGAGACGCGGCAAGACCAAACGAAGTATTTTTTATAAAATTTTCAAAAAAAATGTGGAGAATCGGAATTAGTAGGAAAACTCCAGGCGTTCAAGAGTTACGATAAAATTATATTTTGGCATGGCTGCATAAAATTTTCCTTGGGAAAACTTCATTTCAGCCCTTCTAAATTGGGTTTTCCTTGGGACAACATCATTTCAGCTCTTCTAAATTGGGTTTTCCATGGGAAAACTTTATTTCAGCCATTTTAAATTGGGTTTTCCATGGAAAAACTTCATTTCAGCCCTTCTAAATTGGATTTTCCATGGGAATACTTCAAGTCAGCTGCCCAGCTGAATGGGATTTTCCATAGGAAAACTTCATTTCAGCCCTTCTATATTCGGTTTTCCATGGGAAAACTTCAAGTCAGACCGGCTGAATAGGGGTTTCCGTAGGAAAATTTCAATTCATAGCGGATAAATTGAGTTTTCCGTAGAAAAGCTTCAATTCCGTCCCAGCGGAATTGGGTTTTCCATGGCAAAACTTTAACACAGCTCAGCTGAACTCTATTTTCCATAAGAAATCTTTCATTTCAGCCCGTCTAAATTGCGATTTTCATGGGAAAACTACATTTCAGGCCGTCTAAATTGGTTTTTCCATGGGAAAACCTCTATTCACCCAACACTTTTATAAGAAATTTTCATCTTTTTCGTAATTGTCTTAAAAATAATGGATTTCTTTTTGAAGAGAAAAAATGCATTTGAGACAGCTGAAAGGAGAGAAAATGCACTCTCGCGCTCTTTGTCTACTCTCAGGTAGACTTCGGTTTTTTCTTCTCTTGGAAATAATTAAAAGGCATTATCTAATTTTTTCTTTGGTTCTGAAACATTTACACAGCATGTAATTTTAGAAGACTTTTGTTGGGCTGCAGCTGTTCCTTTTACGCCTTCTGTTAGAGAGAGAGATCAGACGGGCGTATTGAGAAATTGAGCTGCAGCTGTTCCTTTCGTTAATGATGACGGCGACCTTTTTTGTTCTCATAACACAATGCACGACAGGCAACTGCGATCGTAGCCAGTGGATTAGGCTAGACAAACATACATTGTTGTTGTTGTTCTTGTGGCTTGTAAAAACAACAACAAACCCGGCTGCATTTATGAAAAGAGGATTAGAAGTTGCAAAGCAGGGACAGATGTAAATGTTGCTGTTGCTTTGAGAGGCTCGGGGAAAAAAACAGAGAAACACTGAATCAAAAGAAGAGAATTTTCGAAACACTTCAAATACCTAGATGACTCATGCGAATTGTATAAAAATTCTTATTTTTACGCCCTTTAACCGCCCACACACACACACACACACACATACAAACGTAGATAAATCTTCAAGTAATACTCCTTGTAAATGACTTAAATGCCCCAAAGGAACCAGCCGAGGATGTTGACTAAAGGCCATGAATCATTGCGCGAAGGAGATGGAGAGAGAAAAAAGTAATAAATCATCAAAGGCAATGTCGTAAAGTAAAGAAATAAGGACGAATTAAAGATATTTTAAGGATAAATGAAAAGAGAACGAAATTTACTACGATAACCGTTAAAATGGTCGCACACACACACACACGCACGCACAACATGGATACCAAGCAGATACCGCGAGTGTGTGTCATTTACCAACAAAACAAAAAAAGGATCAAGGAACAACAACAAAATTTTATAAATAAAACTTGTACGTTACGCCGTCAGACCAGAAAATACATAAAAGCGAACGCAAACGCACACAAAAACAAAACACATTCCTATTGAATGTGTGTGCGTGTGTCTACAACAACATAAGGAACAACAAGGATAATTCGCTACGCAGAAAACTGTACCCAACCACCACTACTACCCGGTCGACGGTCGGTTGGTCGTTCGTTAGTTCGGTTGGCTGGCTGGCTGTTTCGTTTTTATGTTCATTTCTTTTCAAATAACAATGATTTTTCTATGTTCATGACGAATGGCAGGCAAGAAAGACGACACAAAAGGGAGAAGCGAAAAATACAATTAATTTAAATTCGCATACAATGCAGAAAACGGGCATCACATGAGATGGGAGAGGGAGAAACAGAAAGAGAGAGATGCAGCAATGTAAAGAGAATTGTAATCCAAGGGTAGAGTTGCCAGATTGTTTGCAACTGAAATACATATGCGAAAATAAAAGCATAGGTTTTTTTTAAATAAAATAGAATTTAATTATGAGAAATTGAGAATTTTCTTAAAAAAATATAATTGTGACCGACTGAATTGAAGATATTCTGAAGAAACTAATTACGAAGTTTTTTTAAGGAAGACAATTTAAATTATGAGAAATTGAAACTTTTTTTTAGGAAAACTCAATAGAGACGTGCTTAATTGATGATTGCAATTAGGCAGAATTGAAAATTTGTAACAGAAAAGCCAATTCAGACCGGATAAAATTGTGGTTTTCTAAAGAAATTTTAAACCAAGTTGAGCTGAATTAAAGATTTTGTAAAGGAAAAACAATTCCCCCTTATTAAAATAACGAATTATAATAGAAACCCCAAGTCAACAGGGCTGAATTAAAGAGTTTTTTTTTTTCAAATAAGGTTTAGTTTAGAATTTAGAATTTGTAAAGAAATTACAATTCGGTCGGTTTGAGTTAAAGGGGTCCAATTCTCGTATGCGATATTAAAAAAAATCGACCGAAATTATTTGAAGAAGTAAATTTTAATTTGATTTAATTGAAAATTTCCGTAGAAACAAATTGATACCCAGTAGTTCTTAACAAATACCCAGTAGTTCTTAACCAAATTTTATTTTTTTCGACCTAAAATGCCAATATAGAAATAAAATGCAATCAAAATTTTTCCGATACCGAATTCGAATGTAGCTTTGAAGTTTTCCAATGGAAAATCCAGCCAGAACATACAATTTTGACGACCAGAGATAAAAAATTTCTAAAGAAACATCAAATAAGACGTACGCCAATTCCGATACCGAATTCGAATGTAGCTTCTGCAGGATTGGATTGAATTTTTCCAAAGAAAATCCTGCCAGAAAACACAATTTCGACGACTTGACATAAAGATTTTCTAAAGAAACATCAAATTAGACGTACGTAATAGGAGGTTTTCATAGTGCTGAATTAGATAGATATTCTATAGAAGCCCCAATTCAGATTCAGTTAAGCTGACCTGAAGATTTTCTTTAGATAACCAAATTTTGCTGGGGTAAATCGAAAATTTTCTAAAGAAACCCCAATTCAGCCGGACTAAATTCAAGTTGTTCTAGAAAATCCAATTCAGCCGGGCAAAATTAAACAATTTCTGAAGAGAACAACTGAGCTGAATTTGAGATTTTTTAATGGACCGCCCTTTAGACAGGCGGAATTGTATAATTTTTAATGATACCACATTTCTGAATATTTGAATTCTTTGGAAAATCTTAAATCCTAGTCAGCTTAATTTCAGTTTTTTGGAATATGATTAGTTTAGCTTAGCTGAATTCAAAACTTCTTCACAAAAATGCCATTTTTCCATAACAAAAAAGAGGGTTCTGGTCTAATTTTGTAATTCAGCTAAACCAAGTGGGGCTAAATAGAGACAAACATTGATATAGATAAAAATAATTATATTTTGTAGAGATATAGTCCAATTTATTAAAGTATTTCTCATAGAAAGAAAACATTACAATATAGCTAAGCTGCCATCACGTTTTAGCCATGAAAATGCAATTTCTTGTTGAAAATGTGACATTGTCTGGCAAAACTAATATTGAGCTTAGTTGAATTGGTTTTATTACGAAAGAATTGCATGTTGGGCTCACGTAAATCATAATTCATAAATGTTTAATGTTTCAATCGCAAATCTTCAAAAACTTTGACTTTACCTGCTAAAACTACAGGTGAATTAGATTAAATGTAAATTAAAATACGATTTTCTTTCTGAAACATGTTATTTTGGGTTTTGAATATTTTTTCTTTCTTCATAATAATTTGCTTTTATATTATTCTTATGCTTTCCATTGATTTTCTATGTATTTTAAGTTAAAATTAACCTTACTTAACGTTACGTTAAGTCTACGTGACTTATGTGAATGTGTTATATATCGTTGCGAATATTTCTATTCCCATTGCAATAATTTTCTTTTCCATTTTCCATTGATTTTCTATGCATTTTAACGTCATTTGCATTTTACGTTAAGTCTACGTTATTTATATTTTTTTTTAATTTTTGATTGAGAATATTTTTTCTTCATCATAATCATTTTCTTTTATATTTTCCATAGATTTTTATATTTCTCAATAAAATTCAACGTTACATCCTGCTTACGCAACTTATTTAAATGTGTAATTTTTTGTTGTGAGTGTTGTTTTTCTTCATCATAATCATTTTCTTTTATATTTCCCATATCTTTCAAGTTAAAATGAACGTTACTTAACGTTACATCAAGTCTACGTGACTTATTGTATGAGTAACTAGAGTTTTTAATTCCAACTTGAATTGTCAACACACAAAATGGCAGACATTTGCAAAAAAAAAACATAACGTAGAGAAGCCAACATAATATGGCAACATTACCACACAACACCACACCAAACGGATGTGAGAGAGAGAGAGAGAGAACGGGAGCGAGAGAAAACCATAACACGATTCATGAATGTAGTAGTACCGTTAGCACAAACGAAACCAAACCAAACAAAAAACAATTATATAGTAGATATACAAAAAGGAAATAAAGTATATGATGGAGGGAGAGTAGGAAGAAGAAGAGCAAGTATAATAGAGTATAGCAATAAAAATGATAAACACTCACACAAATTTGCCAGGAGAGCGAGGGGGATTTGGATGTTTTTGTAGTAGTATTATCGATAGATATATCCTTTGGTTTATGACGAAGACGACAAAGACAAAAATATATGTGTGTA